CATAAATTACCAATAGTCAGTTAAGTCGAATTAGGACACTTCATAAATTAGCTTAGTAGCTTAGTAGTTTACTAGTGTACATGTTGCTCGAATTTGAGCAATTGCAAAATATTACGGTAGTAATCTTAAAACGAATAACAGTCATATTTACAATGAGTTTAAAAAGAGTCAACTCAAAGATTACCGGTGTGTAACTCAGACCATGTTTATCTTCGTTATTGATAAACCTAAAGCATTCCAGCCGGTTTTCTCCTTCTCAAAATGCCTCGATGTACATGGCAACACGGGTCATTGATAGAGGGCCAATTGGGAACGAAAAGTCGTTTTGGGGTAGTGTTAGGGCACATTTTAGTTGAGATTGTTCAGGGTCAGTTCTGTCTATGTTTCGTTGTCGTTGTGTCGGAGGCATCATTTAAAAGAAAAAAAAACAACAACAAATAAACAAATTATAACTATAAAACACAACTATAAACGCACAAATTTAAGTTACAATCATGCTAACACAATCAGTGACACAAACCAACGATAAATAAACAAATTTAAGATACAACCATACTACACGATCCGTCTTGGGGGTTATGTTTACACAAACTCAAGTAGTAGATAATAGTTATTTGTGCAACTAGTGAGAAAAGTGAGCAATTGACTCACTCGAGAGAAATCCTTACTCACGAGCCGTAGGCGAGTGAGGAATGGTTTCTCGAGTGAGGCAATTGTACTTTGAACTCGAGTTGCACATTATACTTTTCCTACAGTTACCATAAAACAAATAAATTTGTGAAGAAACATAACCTATTTTTACACAGAAGTGAACTTTTAATATAACATTTAATGTGAAGTGACAAATACAACAGTACAACAGCTGACCAGCTGATTTACAGCCAGTGCTGCCAACGTATTTCGCGCGCATACGAAGTTGCCTGGATGTTACGCGCTCACTATTTCGTGCCTTCACGTTGCAAATCTGGAGTGAGACAAAGTAATTAGAGTGAGACAATGTTAACATTGTCTCACTGATGAGCGAACTGGCCACTTTGCTTTCTCAAATCAGTGAGAGAACATGTACATTGTTAGGTAACTGTAGGAAAATGTACTCAATGCGTTTCATTGAATTGAAAAATAAATAACAGCAATTAAATTATACAGCTGATCAAAATGTAAACAATTATGTTCTCCATAAGGATAGCATGGGAACTTTCAAAGCCACTGGGGCAGAGCCCAAGGGAAGCTTTCAAAAATGTAAGGCCAGTTTGCAAATCTACGCGACACGCTCTTTCCAATGAGACGTCAATGGATAAAATCGGTTAGGAATTGGCGGAGCAGTTAAACCGACAAAGTTTTATGTAGCGTATTAATTATATAGATACCCTACTGAAATTTAATAATTTTTGTCTTAAAGTAAACAAAATTTTCCTTGGTACTTTTCTGGGTAACTTTCCCTTGAAACTCACCAGCAAATGTTGTAAACTTTGCGAGTCTATGCACTGCCATGAATTGTTTCAATTTAAATTACGTATTTTAATAATATAACAATTATAATTTAAAACACTCTAATAGGCTTCACATCAATTATTAAGTGGTAACTGTGGCAATATTTCTACACAAGTTTTTAAGGTTGATCCAATCAAGCAAATCTCGTACCAAAAGTACATTTCATGCTTTGAACGAACGGACAATAGCTTGGTCCTCAATAACCAATACCGATAACGATGATGACACTGCTACACAGGGTCCTTCCAATACCATCAATGTTAAACTTAGTTTCCTAATGTTATTGTTATGGCAGTCCTGTGGTCAGCCATGAATCTGAAACCCAAATAATATGTTTGCCAATAACAATAACAGTTGCAATTTAACTGCCACTCTAGGAACTACGTTAGTTTATGTGTGTACCAATTTTATATAGTCAATAACGAATAACCATCTCGATCGAAAATCCATCGACAAACATGAAAGATTTTTCAACCAAAGAGTTGATTTAAAACCTAAACGTCGACTAACTAAAAATTTTGTCGATACGAGCGATCAAAGTCAAGTCACGGCACTGGCATGACTTTGACTCGAAAAAAATAAACGGTATCAGAAAACTGACACTAACTTTCTCCCATTACAACATGAATAAGCGGTTGGAGTAACTACTATGCTATTTCAAAAGGAAAATCACAAAAGTTCCAACAACTTTCAAACCGTGTAATTGTTTTAGCACTGGAGGGTTGCGTTGCACTGTTTTGTTTGGAATTATAAAAGGACCATAATACCTTAACTTGAATGAAAATCGGATTTTTTTTCATAAAAATCCAATTTGTTGTTACAGTGTTTTATGGCTTTTTAAAGGAAAAATAAAGTTTTTACAATAACCGTAATTTTTACGGAAATGAGATTTCTACTATTTTGTTTGGAATTTAACGGACTATAACATACACTATATTTTGATACAGATCGTTCGGGCCATTTTCGAGAAAATCAGATTTTCCGTAATTTTATGGGAAAACCACAATTAATTTAAAAAAATCTTTATTTCAAGAAAATAAAAAAAACCTGGATATCCTATGGATCAGTACCTGCTATACATACCAAATCGGACTAAAAGTGTGGTCTGGGGTCACCGAAAGATTGCCACCCGGACAACTACCCCCCAAGCAGGTTCCTACGTCATGTTGACGTTCCAGTGATATTGGGGGGAGGAAATTTTTCCAGTCACGGACACACAAGCTTCGTTGTCATACTGTTCTAAACTAATACCTAACCAACCAAACTTGCTGTAACATTTCAAAATTCTGTATGATATTCCCCACATGCCTTTTCTGTTACCAAACGGAATTACTCGGCATTAAAAATAAAAATAACAATAATATGGCAACACATTTTGTCAGGGGGTTCCAGCCGTGAACACGGCTCCCATATTGGTTAGCTAGTTGGCAGATTTCGTGACGTCACGTTTAACCTGTGGGTGGTTTTCCGGGAGCTAGTATTCCTTATCCCCTAGCTCTGTACACATCTACATATACATACCACTTCGTAAACCACTTTTTTGGGCTCAGGAGGCCCAAAACAGATCCACTTAAAACTGAAATTCGAAATTTTAGACGAAAACAACAGGCCTACTTTCTCCAACCACCAATGAGCTGCTACATATACTATATGTATAGGGGAAGAAAGTAAGAGCACAGAAAACGTACTACTATAACCCAGAATGCCAACCGCATGGTAAAAAGCATTAAGCGGTTTGAGAGAGCTTTGCCTGTCAATCCGTAGGCAGCGCCACCAGCGCTGGTGGCGCTGCCTACGGATTGACAGGCAAAGCTCTCTCAAACCGCTTAATGCTTTTTACCATGCGGTTGGCATTCTGGGTATAGTAGTACGATTTCTGTGGTAAGAGCTTCAAAATTTACAATTGGATGGGAAGTCTAACGTGTTGGTTAGTCTTGTCTTATGTTAATAAGTCCATAGACCCTTCACTTCGTTTGTAGTTCGTCTATGATACTTATCATGGATTATGTATTTAATTGATGTTGATTATGGTTGATTTCCTTCCACCATGGATGTTGATGTTATAATAACAGATATTAAAGAAACTACAAGTTACAATGTATTATAATTTGTAATTTACATTAGATTTGCATTGAGACATATGCTGATTTACTAAAAATATTAGTTTGTATTTTATTATGAAACGGGCCCCATGTCTATACCATAGACTATATGTTTTATCTATGTCTATACTATGGCATTTTGGCATTTACGCCAATTCCAATCCGACACATTTCCAATCCGAATTGGACTGGAACTAGGTAATAGATGCGAGCCTTTCAAGACCGGAAAATGCCGCGCGTCTGCGCATGCGCAAGTAAGCGTTATTCGTAGCACTTGACTTGTAACAGCTGCAGCTGTTTCAGAAAATCACACTGGTATCTTCACTGCAACTCTTGCAACAATCTACTTGAAACTGGAACGGTTCTCCCGTGCTAAACTCCAAACCATTTAATTACTGTAACTGAATGAAGAATTTTACAGATTATGTTTATGTATTTATCATCCTGTCGTCCTACTTTCTCTCTGCTTAGGCTAAGGCCTTTTTTAATTTTACTCTGCCTAACTTAATATTTTAGAACTTAACGAATTTCCTTGGAATAGTCAAGTGAAGTTAGGCTAGGGTCTTTCGGCCTACCTTCTTCTGTATCGAATTGAAGGTCTTCGACTTCCATGTTGAAACCATGTTTCTCTTTCAAGTGGATTATAAGTTGAGAGTTCCTCACAAAATCGTGGATACAATCCTTATGTGGACACTTTAGTCTTAACTTATTCCCTCCTCCACTGGTGCTAGGCCTACATAATTGTTGTTTGTGCACATTTCTAAAGTGTCTGAATAAACTACTATTAGTTTTTAACACTTTTCCACATAAACTACAAAGTACTCCAGTGTTATTGTTATTGATGTCTTCCATTATTTCTCAGAATCTTCGCATGGAAGAAGGAGCACATTATCGATAATAAATAACCTCCGCAACACAGCAGCAATCAAAATCTATCAATAACAATTAACCTCAACTTCAACTCAGACATAACTCAATCATAACATAAACAATAACAAACGATATGAATAATAATTATGAGGAACTAGTTGCAGTTGCAGTGCAGTCGAGATAAATACTACAACGACGCTAGTTATAGTAGCATAAGCTAGCATAGCTAGCATAAGTCAGTGACCGTGACTTTCTGAAATAGCTGCTGCTACGCCACCAGTTACTAGCGCATGCGCAGAAGCGTGGCATTTTCCGGTCCTGAAAGGCTCGCTAATAGATCTGTAATCCGTTCCAGTCCAGTCTCAAGTCTCAGACCTTTGCAGACTGAGACTCTCTTAAACTCTACTCTAGTCTCAACTCATGACAAGATTTGTTTTTTTTCGTCCATCCCATCGGGGATTCGATCTTGATCTGATCCAATCCCAACCAAATTCGAACCGAACCGGACCCAATTATTAAAGCTAAAAAAATCAAAGCCAAAGCCTAAATTCTTCTCTTTGTGAAATGTCAACCCGTCCCCTGCCTAATTATTTTATTACTGAAAAGTATTGTTTTCTTTGCGTGAATTGTGTTATTAATTGCTCAAGTAATAACTCGTTTAAGTTGTGAATGTGATTTAGTACAATCCTATGGATGGCGGGGCAGTCGTTTTAGCAGAAACTAAATGGAACATGGAGCCCTAGGTCAGTAGCCTAGGCTATTTACAATTTTGTTAACATAAAATTAGAGACTTTCGTTTTATTACAGACACAATGGTTGTCTAGGTAGTCTTCTAAACTATGGGGTCCACAATGGTAGCCTATAAGTTACTTTTGTTTTAAACTAAGGAATAAGAACGGACAATGTGTTCTTAGCACTTGCAGCCTAGACCTAGGATGACTGAAGTATACTCTAAACCTAAGGTCTAGGCCTAATAATTCACCCTTTTCATTCCTTACTTTCAAGTGCTGTTAAATCTGTAAGTTAGGCCTAGGCCTACATATTTAATTCTGATAACCCTAGTCACTTAAGTTAACGTATCTGTTTACATTGGGGTTTTAGGACCAGTTGTAGTGTAGGTAACTTAGGCCTAACTTAGGCTATTTATTCATTTATTCCAACGGCAAGATCACCAATTTACAATGTGGATTCAAGAAGTCTATGTGGTAACAACATGCATTTTAACAGAAAACTTAACAACTAACTTAAATCTATGGCAGGAGCAGAGCAACATTGGTAGGCCCTACAACTAAATGTTCCTCCTCACTAATTTAGAGCAACTAGTGGAAAACTTTTTGCCAAAGAATAGGCGCGTAATAATCAGTATAGTGTGTCAAGGATGTCGTCGGACGAAGAAGGTACAATCATTCCTAAACAGAAAATAATGTTTACTTTAGTAACATTATTGAATCAGCAATATGACACATAAGTTACTATATCTCCCATTAGCTTGTCAACAACCATTATCATGGCATGGATTAAGTGATTAGAGTAGTAATGATATTTAACTTAATAGGTATTTAAACTTAGTAACTGTTAAACTATGATATTAGGTAATATTACAAAAGTCACATTAACTTTGGAATCGTAACTTTTACAGTAATCAGGCTGCAGCAATAGGCCTAGTGGGGGGGGGCCTGCACAACTGTATATTGTTTAGAACTAAGGACCTCAAGTAGTAATTCAAGGGTGGCTACAACATACTAAATCTTTATTAAAGCCGTTTCGGCCATTTCCGAAAAAATCAAATTTTCCGTCTTTTTATGGGAAAATCCCCCACCATTAAAAATCAAAATCTCTAAAAAATTCTTTAATACCTGGAGATTATATGGATTAGTACCTACATACAAATGTTAATCAAAATCAGACCACAGGCGTGGTCTGTAGCTTTGTACACATCCAGAGTTATTAGGCATAATTAAGATATTTAAATAAGTTAGAAAGATAGCTACCGTAACATTTACCCTATTATAATAATTAAAATAGCCTAATTCAATAATACACATTTACAATATGTGTACAATATGGGAAGGGGAATAGTTCTCCACTAGTTTTCAACAAGCTGCTTGCATAAAGCGCTTAGCAACAACCAGTCAACAACCAGTCTTCAACTTTTTGTTGTCAACTTTCTTTGATCTTACCGACTCTCCGCGGGAAACCAAAATTTAGTGGAAAACTTGTTGCTCCACTAGTTGACGACGGAAAAAGTTGCTGCATTTTGTAGAAAAAGCAACAAGTTTCCGAAACTAGTCGACAACCTGGTTGTCAACTTTGGTGTTTAAACGCGGCTTAAGTTAAAGCCTACAGAATGTAGCCTAGATAAAATAGCATAGCATTTGGCATACCATGAAATCTCTGAGGAATCCCTTCCGAAACTCAAACTAAGAAAGTAAGTTTAGCTCCATATCTCCCTCCTTCAACATTTTGGTAACTTAGGCTATTTTGTCAACCTCCCTATAGGCTAAGGTCCCCAGTATAATGACATTGTAATTTAAGTTACTGTAATTTGACAGGAGACAGGACTAGTGAAAATAAAAACTACCATAAGTTAGGCTAACTTATTATAAGTTTTTACCACAGTTTGCACGGACTGAGATAGACGTGTGAAACTTGGTTTTACATATACTTATTGAGTTAGCCTATATTAAATATATTAAATACATAAAAAATCATCTAATATAAGTACGACACTCCCACGGATGACTGACGGGTCATTCCATGTCAATTCAACCACAAAGAAATATATTGTTCACCTACCTATCATCTCAGTCTTTGACAAAACTTTATTTTGTTTATTCTATCCATAAAGACAAGTAAGAAAACCATGAAATTTTTATTTTTATTCAAACGAGATAAGGTGATGGCATTTTAAAGTTTTGAATTTTTCTGATTTTCACACCTTAATGAGCACTAACCATTACATATCGTTTGAAGAGAAAGTAATTTCTCATTTTCTTAACTTATTTGACATCCAATCTCGGCTTGATAAAAATTTTCAAGGGTACCAGTAAATGCCTAACTAAAAATTTTAAAGGGAGGTAGTTTAACTCATAACTAGCCTATAAGGAGATTGTGAAAAATTCAATAGGCTATCGGGTTTACCGGTATATTCTCTTACACTTTACGTCAAGCCTTGACTATTGGATACCTACTGAAGTTTAGACGTACCACCTATATTAACCAGCTGTCACAAATTTTTTATTAAAAAAGAACATAGTTTTGTGAGCCAGACCAGAATGCGCTAGTGTCTACATTTTTTTGTTGACCAGGTTGATGGGTCATCACATAACAGTTATAGCTCACTATAACTTAAGTCATTCCCTAAGTTCGACTTGGTAAGAAAGTTTGTGTATTCGACAGATTTTAGTCATTTTTAAATCTGCGTAATCTGTATGTGGCTCATATCAACTACAACGAGATCTAATTGAATGATGGAAAAGACCAATATGGTAGTGCATTGGCAATAGCAAATAAATTTAACAATTTTTTTATTAATGTTTAACAAATTGCTAACCAAATGACAGATAAAAATAAATCCATTCAGCTACTAAACAATAGTCAACATTTAATTAGAGTGCAAAATTCTGCTTTACAATTTAAATTTAGGAAAATTTCAGTTCAGGATCTAAGAAAAGTTTTCACCAGTCTTAGCAATACTAAATCTTCAGGTTGGGATGAAATTCCCCTCTTTGTTATTAGTAGAGTTTTGAAACTTATTGAACAACCTCTATGCACACTAGTGAATCAGTCCCTCGAGGAAGGAATTTTCCCAGAAAAACTCAAATATGCAGAGATAAAACCTCTTTTTAAAAAGGGTGATGTTAACAATCCTTCTGACTTCCGACCAGTTGCTCTTTTGCCTTGTTTTTCCAAAGTTTTTGAAAAAATTGTGAAAAATCAACTTGCAGATTATTTAGAACAAAATGATTTACTAAATCCATCTCAGTTTGGTTTCCGCTCAAAATCCAGTACTGAAAAGGCTATTACCAGGATGATTAACTGCATTGCGGAGGCCTTGGACGGGTGTGACCTGTCCAAGGCTTTTGACTGTGTTGATCATGATATATTGCTAGAAAAATTAAGCAGACATGGAATAAAAAATGTGGAATTAGAATGGTTCATTTCATATTTAAAAAGTTGTAAACAAAGAATTATTTTACAGAAATGCTAAACTATAAGTCAGAATGGGGTTATACACCCTACGGAGTTCCTCAAGGTTCCATTCTTGGACCTTGTTTATTTTTAATCTATGTAAATGATTTATGTAATGCTACAAAAATGCATACTTTTCAATATGCAGATGATTACTGCTTTAATCTGCACTGAACAAAAAACATTGGATTTTAAACAAGACTTAATTACTAATGAGTTTCAACTCCTCGGGGACTGGTTCACAGCAAATGGTCTATCTATGAATGTGTCAAAGACACAACTAATTTACTTTTCAGTTGCTAATGAGAATCGAGACATTGCTGTAAATTTGACCAAACATCAATATATTCTCAAAACTCGGTCAATTACCTGGGAATTGATATAGATTGGCAACTTAATTGGCAAACAAACATTAAGAATCTATCAAAGAGACTCAGATCAGCTATACTTGTTCTTCGGGTAATTCGACATACTACAAATTTAGACACACAATTAGCAGTAGGCTATATCACGCTTATTTTTCTTCCATCATGAATTACGGTTTAACAGTATGGGGTTCTTCTAGTCATGCCGAACAAATTGTTATCCTCCAGAAAAGAGCAGTTAGAGTCTTAGCCAAAGTGTCTCGAATTACTCACAGTAAAGAGTTTTTCATTCAGTTTAAAATTCTTACTTTGTATAGGCCTAGTTACAATATAATACAATACAATATTCTTTATTGTTAATTCGTTAAGAATTACAATAGTGTCAATCTGTACAACATTGACAACATCTGTACAACAATAGTTCTTATATCTGTAAACTGGCTTTAATGGTTAAAAGTGATTTTGACACATTCATGGAAGATCAACATGAACATCCTCATAACACTAGATTTAAAAACAATATAAAACCAGTTCAACACAGACTTAAAGTATTCCATTTATCTCCTCAGTACATGGGTCCAAAAATATATAACAAATTACCTTCTTCAATTAGGGACACTGATTCATTCCCTAAATTCAAAAAGAAGTTAAAATACTTTCTTTTGGAGAAGGCCTTCTTCTCTTTGGAGGAACATATATGGAAGCTGTGTAGATGTTAAGATAACATCATAACTCTACAATAATTCAATAATACACATTATTGTATAATATTATTGTAATATTTATGTATGAGATGGTGTGCTCAGCATATGAAATTTATTTTAGTAATAGTTTTAGCATAGAGACTATAAATTATTGTAACAATGACGAATCACCTGTCTGAATATGATGTTATGTGATTATTGGAAAATAAATAAATAAACGATTTTTATAAAAAATCTAGCTTCAGATTTAACATGGGAATGGGATGTCTAGTTGTATTAATAGTCAAAGGTTGTGGTTTAAACTAAGGCTTTTGATCAGAACTGACTCACCTTGCTTCTATAGTTCCCAAACAATCCAAGACTATTTTTTTTTTTTTTTTTTTTTTTTTCCAAAGACGCTAGGCACGAACCTGGGATTGTTTTTCACATTACTTCAGGCTAGACCTAGGGGTTGCGGCATTATCACTTGGATAAAATCCATTGGTGACTTGGCGGGGATCGAACCCGGGAATCCAAGACTACTAAATGGGAAATCACTGTAGCTAGCTGTAAGAAAGCCCACTGGTTGCTGTAACTGTGAAAACTTCTTGTAGCCTACGGTAGCTTATCAGGAAGAGTATTTGAGATTTTCTAAACATTTTTCAAGCTTACTTCGAATCAGATTTAGGCTACTGAATCTTTTGAAACAAAAGCCCAGTCCACACTTGGAGACTGAGTCGGCGGACAGTCAGCTGACGGTCTGCCGACAGTCTGTCAATGCAGTTTTAGATGCAAGTTTCTGATTTGTTTTGCGTCTAAACTAGCCAACTTGTGTATGGCGACTGAAATAAAGCCGGGTTTACACTACCGAAGGAACCGAAGTGTTCAGTTCCCAGCCAGATGCTGAGTAAGAAGGTAGTTCTTGCAGCAGCCGCTGCTTTCGCTGCAGGTACTGTGATATTTTTAACGCAAAGAAGAGGAAGAGGATATTGGATTAAGCCCTCACTTCAGGCTAGGAAACGATTCAGAGGTAGTGACCAAACTTTTGAAAGACCTTAACGAAGATGGTAGAGATAACTTGAATTATGATATTCGTTGTGACCTCACTAAAAGAACTCTGGTTACAAATGAGTAGGCCAGAGTAAACAAACATGCGAGATGCGACAACAAGGTGCTGTGGCAGCCCTTAAGGAGGTGGCAGCTACATCTAGCTCTGCTACAAACAAGAATGGACGTATAGCTGAACTATATATGTTGCAGAGCTAGATATAGCTCAAATTCCCTTTGGTGTTTACCAAAAATTTTGGATAGCTCGTTTTCGTTTTTTTTTATAGGCTAGCTAAGTATGCTGTGAAATCTGGCTAGCCTATACAGCAGTTCTTCAAAGACGCTTTTTGAACTTCTAGCTGAGCTAAATATCTAGCTCTGCTACATAGTGTAAGCCCAGCTTAAAACATCATTTTATCCTGTGCATGCTTCTTCCTTCTTAACCATGTGGCTGATGTACCAAGGAAGAGACAATGGTGGACCCACAAATTTCTCTAGCAAGGTAACTACTTAAGTCAAAACCTACTATCAGACCTTCGATTAGAATAGACACAGGATTTAATAACTTTACAAGAATATTCACAGATTTTGAGGTTCTGTTAAAGACTTTGTTGGGCCAAAGATAACAAAAAAATGTAGGAGTTACATGGCTATAATTTCAGCCCTGAACTCCAGCTGAACCCTGCATGGATCAGGTTGTATCCGATATCCTGTCTCTAGACACGTCCACACATGCAGACTTGACTAAAGACTTGTATCTTGTCTCCACGTTTCCCTTTCGAATGGCAAACAGAAAACACTGAGGTTGGTTTTTGATCGCCATTTCATTGAAAAGTATTTAAGTATTAAAGTATAGGGAAAAAAGTGTCCAACTTTGCTTTGGAATAATTATTGAGGAGAGGAAGAATACACAACTAAATCGGCTGAATTTAAAGAGTCCTAGGAGGTCAATAGAACACATTAAACTGATATTTCCCCCATTTCAGGGGCTTCTTCAGAAATGGAAGCTAAACTTATCAAAGCAACCGTTGATTGGCAAATGTTAAAATTGAACAACTTCATGTTAATGGTACATGCAGTATCAAATTTAAATTAGTTTGTCCAATAACATTCCTACTGATTATCTAAATAGCCCTGGTAAGTTTGGCTACAATATGTTCAACCGTTATTGCGTGATTCAAATGCAAAGTTTGCATAAGGCCTGATCTTAAAGAGCTCCGCTCAATTATTTGCATTATAATCTATTAGACTTATGTTTCTAATTGTTACCTATTCAGATAAATTGTAACATGGAGGCCTAGTATTATTAAAGTATCTGGTCGCCAGGTATTGTTTGTTAAAATCCCTTACCGGTAATTTAAATAGCATTATCCTAATGTACTTCATTTAGTCACCAGGGTTCATCTTTATGCCCACTATGACCTTTGTAAACCTTGTCACAAAAACTCCCATCATTACACTGTTCACCAGAACAAATTTGCAGTAAAATTTTACACCTGAGACTGAGATGTTGTGTTTAAATACCGTAGTTTTATTTGTTTATAAAACATGTAATAAGACTGTTATTTTTCAGGAGTCTGTGAGGGATAAAGGCTTTACTAAAGCTAAAAATGGATCCAGCCAACATCAAAACTGATCCTGGATTGTTATCAGTTGAATATTACATGAACAGACTAATTCAAAGAGCAATAATTGAAGCAAAACCTCTTCTCAAAATATATGAAGAAGAATGTCAGAGGTAAGTAGTTCGAGATGTTAAACTATTTAGCCCATTAAATCCGGATTATATAATCGTTTATATCTATTCCAGGATAAGATATGGGGTGAAGGGGGTGTTTTGTACAGGGCGAGGCAGTAAGAGCACCCCAATTTTCTTTCAATAAATAATGGTTTTAATACCTTATACTGTCAAAGTGATCCTTTGTAGTCTATATAGCTACTGCAGTTTCGTTCCCGATGGGAACTTCATAGGGCTGTCAAGGACATCAAATTTTGTTCCAGAGGAAGTCGTTGAAGTTAAAATCCATTGATGTCACCCATATAATTACACACAAATGAAAATACATACATTAAATAAACATTACAAAAACGCCGGTACCGGGAAACACGATACGCACGGAAGGCAGGTCTAGTTTGTGTGTAGTTAAATGTGTGACAGCGAAGGATTTTAACTTCAACGACTTCCTCTGGAACGAAATTTGATGTCCTTGACAGCCCGATGAAGTTCCCATCAGGAACGAAACTGCTGTACCCTATATATGTACTACAAAGGATCACTTTGACAGTATAAGGTATTTAAACCATTATTTATTACTATACCAGTGATCTGGAGGCTAACAACATGAAATTTTCTTTCATTGTTACACTATAAGTAAAGCAACAATGAATGAACAGCTGTGCTTATAACATCAATTAAATTATGCCATTTTAGTAAACATTATGCCTGAGGCTATTAACACTGAGATTTTGATGTGAAAACCTATTTTTAAAATAGTGATTCTTGTGCAAAAACCCAGGGATTGTTTGGACCACATTCCATCCATCCTTGGTCAACATGGCGGTTTGTACTATTTATAAATTGGGGCGCTTTCATTGTCTCACCCTGTACTATTAGAATAAATATTTAAACTACATTTTTTGTGAAACTGTAATAAGGTATAGTCAATTAACTTAATACTTAATTTTTTTCAGGCACCCAGATATAAGTATGACTGTTTCTTTCAAAGAATTCCAAACTGCACTGCAGAAACACTGTATGACACTTCAAACTCGTCAGCAAAGTCCAGCTGCCAATCAAATGAAGCCACAAGAGTAAGTTTTTTCACTAAATAAAAAGATAAAATTAAATTTATAGTAGTTTAATGAACATGATTGAGAATAAATTGACAAAATGTAAACATAGAAATGTAAACAGATTATAACAATTAATTATTGCAACATGTGATCCGAAGCTGTGGATTGGTTGGTGTAGATAGTATCCACAGTACTTCTAACATACAGGAATTGAAAAGGTTTGTTCTTATTTTCATTAGTAGGTCTAGTAAGGTAATAGTAATATGACTTATAGTAAGGTCTAAATTGCTTTCTGTTAATAATATCCTTCATTAAGTAATAGGTTGAGTGATATGTTTTGAAAGTAAATCAAGTAGTAATAATGTCATTTGTAACAAAAAATTATACCAAGTCACATTGATTTAGCAATTTCTTTATATACCGGTTTTAATCATTGTGAGTGCTTGATTTGTAAATTCTGAGGTGCTGGAACTATAACCTATTTAATACTTTTAGTACCTATCATTATCCTAATATTTTTATCTTTCTGAAAGAGAGGTACCGAAACAATGTTCCGCCACAAATTAAGCACTGATCATTGTGATATACACAGATTAACTGTATTGAGATTAGTTTTACGTTTTACTATTGTACTTCAAATTCAATGGTGTATTACTGAGCACTGTGAGAATGTTCACCCTTTATTAATTAACTACCTAGTAAAAATTCACACTGCACAATGTGAATTCCAACACAAATGTAACCAACGGATGAAAGATATGTTCACTGGAGCTAGGGTTAAATATACGGTTTGGTTTTTAAACAAGGGCTGTTTGTGCGTACACCTTCTTTCCCGCACACCGTATTGAGGCCCCTCACCGCTTACTGGCACCATTTGTGAACAAAAGCGCAACATTTGCAGCTCTGTTGCTGACGTGTACACTTTTAAAATTAATTAATTTCCCGCAGCATGCTGGATAAGGTTAGTGATATTGTTTTTTGACTGCAAGAAACATATCGGCTGCAGACATTCACTGTCAGATTACTGAAGTTTAATGCCCTGATGCAGCGACGGTAAAGTGCAAAAATGGATCAGTGAGTTTAAAAATGGCCGTAAACATGTCCATTTTGGAAGGAATTGTGTTTTTGGTGGAACTATTTGTTATATCTAATAACTGCCATCTCATTTTAACACAAAGTTTACTCTTTGCAGACAACCCACAAGATACTCAGCATCAAACGAGTCGCTGAACCAGAGAAAGAGACGGAGAAATTCTGACATGCAAAGCCAAGCATACCACAGGGCTCAGCAACCAGGGCTGGACAGGTATAGTCCTCAGGCCAGCCAGATGTCAAACAACCAACGGTACAGGCCGACCAGCCAACAGTCGGCTCCAATAAATGTCAAGACAGAAGACCCGTCGTACTCTATGGCTCCAACAATGCCAAGTCCAAGCTACTCAAACAGAACAACACCAGTAGCGGCCATGCAGAGTCCAGGCTATCCCACAAGTAGACCTCCTAGCATACAACCTCCTGCTGAAGAAGATCCTCCACCCGAGTTTATAGAAATGTCTTCAAATCCGCCGAGGTTATCAGGACCTTCTCAGTATTCCAATGTTTTCCAGACCTTAGGAGCCACTGAACAAAGTTCCGGGAGTGATGTAATGTGTAAAACAGAACCTAAAAAATCTGACGGAACCAGTACGGAGCAAAGTGCGGTACAGTCTTCATCCCCTCTTGATAAGAGCGCCAACCTATGTCTGGACAATGTGTCCCCGTTGAACGTACGTTGTGTGAAGTGTATCACCGCTCTTGTGACGTGTGCGGTCATGCCCTGTGGACATTGTTGTCTCTGCAGTATTTGTGGACAAACTGTCTTGTCTTTGAAACAAGTGTGCCCAGTGTGTCGCAAAAGTATTACTAATGTTTTAGGATACTCAAATTTAATCTATAATTTGTATAGGTAGCACGAAGGTTAAATCTGTTTGTTATTTTATATATTACACCACTTGATAGTTTATTGTATATATGTATTCATGTATTAAAAACTTAATTGTGATTTATCAACCAATTGAATTTGAATATCCCAACAGTTTCCTAAGTGCATCAGATTTACTACAACAATTGTTTGGACTGCTGAGTGTTTATAGTGCTCGCTTTCAAATCTAATCGCTGGTTTGAATCCAAGGTATTATAATAACTGGACCCAGATGCCATTTTTTAACTGGGCTATCAATTAATGATGCTCTCTAAAAAAAAAGTCCTAACAAATTTAGTGATAAACCTAAAAAAAATTTTCACAGCGAAAAAGTACAAAGTGTAGCAAAATATTAAGAATCCACCCATCTTGTGGATGTCCTTTTTTAGTTGGGCATCACTCACTAAGCTTTGCTAAAAGCAGACTCCTCTTAAGTTGTACATCGGACCTGAGTAATACTACACCAGACGGTGGTGAGGAAACATTTCTTCAGACCCTGAGGCATCCTATTTCTATGGAACTATCAATCAATCAAATATTCTTTATTCACAAAGTTTAGACTATATGTCTTGGATAGCGTCATTATACTAACATAAACAAAAAATTATAAACTAAATAATTAAAATCATTCACAAAGGATTTATATAGTAAAACTAAAAATGAGTGCTATAACTTTAAAAAATCACAAAATCTTAGAAGGTTACGTCAGAGTAAAACTAGGTAGTATCTGGAATTCAAATGGTCGTTTCGAGATTACAATTTAAAAATTCTTTGATGGAATAAAATGGGTTTCTTATCAACAAGTCTTTTAGTAGGCTTTTGAATCGGTTTGTATTATTTTCTTTTTTAAGTGAAATCGGTAATTTTTGAAGAAATTTTAAGCCTGCATATGAAGGTTTTTTGGTATAGAATTCTAAATTATGTCTAGGAAGGTTAATTTGAAAGCGTGTGTTATATTTACTTGCAGTGGATAATAAATGAAATTGTTTTGCATAAATTATTGTCTCATAAATATACAAACTGTAAACTGTTAATACACCCAATTCAGGAAAGATATTTTTAACTGAATCTGTTCTTTTTAATTTCATGATCACTCTAATAGCTTTTTCTTGTTTTATAAGTATTTTATCCAAATTTGCCTTAGTTGTTGCTCCGTAAACGGCGATTTCATAGGATATGTGGGAATGAATTAGAGAATAATAGATTATCCTAAGAGTTTCCAAGTTGCAAACCTTGGACATCAGCCGCAAGGCATAAATGCCAGATGATAATTTATTTACTACATAGTTTATGTGATTATCCCAAGATAGATTTTCATCAATAACCAGTCCCAGAAACTTTGTTTGGTTTACCTGATCAATTTTGTCTGTTTTTATAAAAATGTTAGGTTCAAATGCTGTTATTGATTGTTTAGTTGAAAAGGATATTCAATTTGATTTTGTTCTTTCATCCAAAAACTTTTTTATAGAGAGGAGACTCCTGTTTGAGGATTTTTCAATAATTAAATTGGATTTTCCTGAAAACAAAACATTAGTCATCAGCATACAGACACATAGATCCATCACTGACCGGGATCATCTCTGGTAACCCCTTAATGTAACAGAGGAATAAAAGAGGCCCCAAGATCGATCCCTGGGGTACTCCATATCGTAGTGTCTGCCGCTGAAATCTAAAGTTTTCAATGTATTTAGTATTTCTTTTCTCTATTACGTAGTCCACTTCAACAAACTGTTCTCTGTTTTCTAAATATGAAGTGAACCACCGTAATTCTTTTCCTATTATTCCTAATTCATTTAAAATATCTAATAGTTTACCATGTGAAACGCTGTCAAAAGCTCTACTAAGGTCTAAAAATATTCCAACTACTTTATCACCATTATCTACTGAATTTATAATTGATTCAATAAAATCTATACCAGCTGTTATTGTAGATTTTCCTGGTCTAAACCTGTGTTGCTCCTTATCAAACACTTGATTCGTTTCAAGGTAATTAAAGAGCTGAATATAAACAACTCATTCAAAAATTTTTAAATAAAAACCGGTAAAAGAGATATTGGGCGATAGCATGATGGGTCTGCGGTGTTTCCTTTTTTGAATATGGGAATAACTTTGGCTAATTTTAATTTGGATAGAAAAATTCCTGAAATCAGAGAAGAATTTATTACATGTGCTAATGGTTTTAAAATATATGGTAATGATCTTTTAATTATTGTGATAGGTATTTCATCATACCCCGTTGAATATTTATTTTCAAAAGAAAGTATTAATTTTCCAAGATTGTCTTCAGTTATAGATTCAAACTTAAAATTTTTAATAATGCAAGATTTTGAGGGTTTCTGTGTTACTGTACCTATTGCTGTTGTTAATGGTTGTGAAACATATGGCAAAACAAGCTTTTCAACTGCAGTTGTAAAAATGTTATTAAATATATTACTCACTGCCAGTGGGTGTGTGTGTGTCACCATTTGACCATTTTGAATAATGGTTTTATTTTTAAAGTTAGATCTACTGTTTTCGACTTAAGTTTTATTTCTTTTTTTTATAATTTTCCATGTTACTTTAGTTTTATTAATGGCATTTTTTTATCTTTTTGCCGTAAAATGTTTGTTTTGCTTTGTTAACTAGCTGTTGCTGCTTTGATCAGGTCTCATAGAAAATGTTAATGAAATTCTCCTCTCTCTCTTAGTTTTCACAGTGTTTATGCTTGTGGCTAAAAATGTTAGAAGGTCCTTTACATCTAAAACTGGTTAGTTTGTCTGCTAGAAGTAAATTCCTAATCTATTCAGCAGGGCCGTCGCGTGAGTGGGGCGACCACCGTGGGTGCCACGGCAAAAGTGATAAATTGAAAAAATTAGATAGATGTACATAACATATTTTTGGAAGGTATGAATTTTGAATATTACATTGGATGCATTTATTGTCGCAGTGTCGCTCTGTACACATGAGTAGCTGCCGTGTTCTATTTTGATTTCGGCCAACGGCCGACCTTGGGACTCTTGACAATGACTCAAGGTAGAGACAATAATCTCAAATATGCTCATGTTGACATGTCGCCCCTCCCCCACTCCCAACACCCTTACTCGAATCACTCCTTTCACCTACGGCAGTCATAGCTCAGCTGTGAGCTTAGTTTGATGAGTGATTACGAGTTATTTGTACGTGAATTGTGTCCAGAGTCCAACATCTCCAAAAAGTTAACGGGAGCTCAGCGGAGAAAATTAAATAAATAATATTTTCTCACTATAATTGTATGGATTTGATAGTCATCAATTAAAAAAGATTTTCATCAAAAATTTAAGTAATTTAATCCCCGATTCTTGGCTCTAGGATTTTTGTAAGGTAATTCAATCCATTTAGGTGTCTGTAGTTGAGCTTTGAAACACAGATAGCGATGCAACCCGCCACGTCTGACAACATCCCGCCCCTGGCGCCAATAAATCACACGACGACCCTGCTATTTAGAACTAGAGGAAAAAACTAAAAATCTCAAATAAATATAATATTCTTTATGACAAATTTACATTGACGTCCATGCGGGAGGAATGTGTCATAAGTGGAATCGGTTTACGGTATGGCCTGTCTCTGCTGCCAAAGCGAAGCTGTCCAGATTCCTTCTTACCACCTAACCCTCCTCCTATAACATCGTAAACATTCTGTATACAATTAACATTGAACAGGCATTGCTGACAAATTAATACAGCAAAAAAGTAGTATTTTATTTAACAATAATTGAAATGAAATGTACAAGAGCCACTTGCAAAGTAAGCTCAGGACAGTTAGAGAAATACCCCCATTTCATCAAACCTAGATCCATTTGTATAATTTGATTTAGACTAAAATATTTCCTTAAAATTGTCAGATTTATTCCATAGCAAAATTACAAAAGATTTAACATGTACTACACTTTAATAAAACAGGGAAAGAAAGATTTTTTTGTAAAACGTAATAGTAGGGTATGAAATAAAAGAATTGGCTAAATGGCAAATTTGATAAAAATGTATCAGGAACAAGCAAACTACAACAGTTTACCCCATGAGGGAATTTTAAATGTACAGTTTTTTTTTTTTGAATTTTCTCTGTAACCTTTAATCCTACAACATTTTTATACACCGTTCACAAAATTAGGTGGAGTTTTAGGGGAAGAAATCTATCGCCTGCACTAGTTCTAGCAAATATACAAAATTTTGAGATCTAAAACTTAGACATACCAAGTCGCCTGGGTACCCAGAAGGGCAGGAGGTGTTCACACTCAAAGTCCACCACCAACATGGCATCGTCTAGCCTCATTTTGTGGCCTCGTCGGTACGCAGCCATCGCTCCGCCTCGCTCCTCGTATTCCACAAACGCATATCTCTTTGACTCTCCAGTGACCAAGCACCTAATTAGCTTACAACTTTTCACCTTCCCAAACTCTGAAAACACCTGAAAATAATCCCATAGATTATTTATACACCCATTATCTTGTATCATTTAGTACCTTAAATACATTAGTATTTAAGTAACTTGTTTCTGATGTTAACCATTTTGATATAGTCATATTTTTATTTACCTTTGACAATTTTTTTCAAAATCAATTTTTATCATCTTGCTATGTTAGTATTGTTTCTATGTACTCGTTCTATTTTGACTTGTATTTTGCTCATATTTTTTGCATTGTGTTTCACCATGCCATTAGTAGACTAGATTTTAGATTAGAATCAGGCCAGCTTGTCTTAACTTATTTGATAAAATTATCTTTGTTACTATTTCATGTGAAATATTTAATTACATTTTAATATTATGTAGCAAATGACGAACCCTATTGCACTGTAAAATGTTTAAAGGGTAATAAAGATTCTTATTCTTATCAAAAGTTCTGGAAAATTTCCGACACGCTGAAGTAAACATCCTGATTAAAAAGGCTTTGGTGTGTGCCAACATCCCAGCCCAACTGGAACCCACAGGTCTTAACCGGAACGATGGGAAGCGGCCAGATGGAGCCACAATAATCCCCTGGAGCAAGGGCCAATGTCTAGTCTGGGATTTCACTTGCTCTGATACCAAGGGCGGGTCCAGGGCAAATTTTCGGAGGGGGCCATTCTATCGAGTGTGTGGGGTTATTCTAGGCCAGCTTGGCCACAACCGGGGCCTCCCCCGGTAATTTTGGAAAGTTATACTTACAAAGTCAACATTTTAAGCACTCTGACGAAGAAAAAGTTTAATGTCTTGTAATCTGAAAGGGGGAGTTTAAATGCAAAACTTCCTTAAACCATTGATAAACCTTTTTCTGTTCTTACCGGCCCTGTAATTTCACCTATCTATTTTTAAATGTTTTGTTTCATAATGTCGAAGTGCATTGTATTCCTTTTAACAATGATTGTTTCAGAAAATAAAAAAGTACCAACTAACTACACAGTAATAAGTTCTGTCTAAAAATATATAAATTTGAAATCTTTATGTAAAAAAAAAGTGTAGCAAAGGTATACTTGTGTAAAAGAGAGAGGTCCATACGGCCCGCCGGTGGCGCCGGCCTCAGTATCCTACCATTTTGAATGGTGGGCACGGCCCGTTTTTCCATCACACAGCGCGCCAGTAACCAAGGGAGTATTAGATTAAGCATACTCCGTATTAAGTTATAATATGATGATATATATTTCCCAGCCAGGCGGGTGAGCGTACGACACTGCGACGTTGATGATGTATACACTCGAACGCACATGTCTACGAGAGTGAATACTCTGTAGAAACGGCAGTGTGGTAGTCAGGTAGACATCGGCAACATCGCACTCGTAGTACTGTAATGGCGGTTGCTCAATCATGAGTCTAGGGCCAGGCGCACACAGGCAATTTTGAGTCGCGCAACAGTTGCCCGACTAAAATGTTCAACATTGTTTTAAATTGGAGTGCGCACACCAAGGAAACAGTCTAGGGACAGTCGCGCAACTGTTGCAACCGACGTTCCCGGACCCAATTTGCCAGCGACCGCTCAGTCTCACCCCAGGTCTTCAACTACTCGTGGCCTAACCTAACTTAGAAAACAGCTAAGCAAAGCTTAAGCCTTAAACGCTTCCATTACTTACCATTATAATTTTGTCATGTGCTTGTGCTTAAGTGGAGGGATGCACATAGGTTGAATCTTGTAAAACAACTGTGTTAGGTACTAATAAAAAAAACTGTAACAAAACAAATACTCAACTGACTACTGAGCCACATTTTTTTTTTTTTTATAGTGGGTAGTAGGATGTACTGTATCGGTACTGTATGACTGACGCACTGACGTGAGGATGGCATAGGATGGTGGGAAACGGGGATGTGTGCGGCAATTTTTAAGTCAATTTTTCAAATTATAAACGCTTGAAAAAATAAAAACCTGATTCTCGGGGGGGCCATGGCCCCTATGGCCCCCTCTCTGGAACCGCCACTGTCTGATACATATGCAGTAAGTTATATCAAACATAAAAGCAAACCAGAGCAGCAGCTGAAATGCCCACCCAGAGAAAACATACTAAATACACAGATTGAGATATTATATCAAGAGGATTCCAGTTAATTGTCCTGGGTGTGGAAACTATTGGGCCATGGTGCAAAGATAGCCCAGTCAATAAATGTTTTTTATCGCAACTAAATGGTGGAAAGCTGGATTTTTTATATGTGATAGAACCACATGAGAGGTGTATTTTCCCAAAAGTCCCCACTTCTACCCCTTGAGCTTTCCCCCCCACCCCCTTACAAACATAGAAATTGCAGTGTTTTACTTAATTGGTCATAATTCGAATTCTATGTAAGCTATCGAGCTGCAATTTGTTTTGTTTTATTTCTGATTAGTTTCCCTACAACTTTTGTATTTACAACATTTTTCTAAAACCAATACTTAGGGAGATATAAAGTTTAAACTTCGTTAAAAGCTTTGTTTCAGAGTGCAAAATTTTATTTTTTTCTATGTATACTTTTAATTAGAAATAATACGCAAATATGGTTCAAACAAAAGTTTTAGTACGTTTTTCAAGGTTTACAAATATATTATTGGTTAGTCATCTAGGTGACCGGGTGAAGAGCTGGGCGTCAGCAAAGAGAGCGCGTGCGGGCTAGTTCAACACCTCTGCGCTGCGTCATCGCACCTACCCCAGCCAATAAATGCAAAAACTGCCTTTTTCCGTAGCTAAATAGTGGAAAGCTGAGTTTGTTATATGTGATGAAACCACTTACTTGTATTTTCAAAAAGTTTACGATTATCCACCTTGAGCTTTTTTCCCCCAACCCCTTCCAAACCTGGAAATTACAGTCGTTCACTTTACTGGATATAATTAAAATTCTACGCATGCCATCGTAGTGAAATTTGATTTGTATTATTTGTAATTAGTTTATCTTCAACTTTTGTACTAAAGGTGTTCTTATAAAACTATATCCAAAGAGATATAGCATTTTAACTTTTTTTGATAATGTTTATGTTTTAGAGTACACAATTTTGTTTTACCCTCGATATATTTTTTCCAAATAAAATACGCATAATGTGTCAGAAACAAAATTTTAGTATGTTTCTTAAGGTTTATAAATATATGTATTTGGTTGGTCATCAGAAATAACTGATGTAATGTGGGCGTCGGCAAAGACAGCGCGTGCAGGCTTCTTAAAGCATCCGCGCAGCCCCGCCCGTCGATGCATAAGGACCGGCACCGCTAAGTTCTCAACTGTTTCATACAAATCCTAAGACTTCCTAATTTGTAGCCTAGTTTACTACCAAAAGAATCTGTTTCCAAGCTAAACCGTGACTAAATGAAGCTTCTCGCTGTCAGTAAAAAGTTTTCGTTGACCCACTAATCCTTGATACAAACTGCGTCCTATTATTGGTATGTCCCTCTCTTCACGCTTCCCACTAGCAAGGGTTAGCTTTCTGCTCTGCCACGAGTTGTAAGCCTGTGTTAAAATAATATCACGAACAACGTATAGAAAACTGTCGGTAATATTATTTTATAAGCCATTTTTAATCATGATAATGAATACAAATTAAAACCAGTCAATGTTAAAACAAACTTTTGTATTAATTCTATATAGAGGAGATTTTAAAACTCTTAATAAGCGCCTTCATCTTTATTAGCAATGTTAAACGTGTGCATAATGTCTACCACTAACCAATAAATAACTATTATGCTGACTCATTTTTAAGATAACATGAAAACAATCAAATATTAGAGAACAGAACGTCACCAGGATTATGAAAAAAAACCAATTTGATTGACACCTCTTCACAATATGTTAAGAAAGGAAATTTGAATAATTTGCCTGTATGTATCCCGTAAATAGTCTTGCCTGCATGTATGGGGACACAAATACAGTGTTTTACTTACTTATTTATAACTTTTGGATATATGACTTATTACATTAATTAATTGGAAAGTAAATAAAATAAAATACGTCTAATAGTCTAACACTTAAAACATAAATTTACACTTATAATGTTACTCACAATACTGTAAATATACATAAAAGATGGTAAGTGGTGGTAGATTTCGATTCGACACTGCAATCATCCTCAGACCCATAGGTGAATTGGGTCATCATCTCATCATTGGGTTCAGTATGTTTCTTACCCAGCTTTGTGTAATGTAATATATGTATCCATGTATATTATTGTCAATAGGTGTAGCCGTTGACAGAAATAATTAAATAAATTATTATTTCAAATGAGAAACGAGTTAAGACTAACAATAAATTTAAGAAATGTACAAATGATTAGGTTTAATCTAATTATTATTTTTTTGCAGTTTACTGTTTAGATCTTTACTGACCGCGAGGTGCAGTTAGTATAAATCTTGCGGAACAAAGCGAGTCCCATTGGTGGTAGATAATGGAAAGCACATTGTAACGTAAGGAAGAGCAAAGAGTATGTTTATAGTAATGATTTTTAAAGTGTTTATGAGACCTAGTGTTCTATACCTCAATCTATCAAGCTTCCGTTGGTCAAAGATGAAGAAATCAAGTATTACAAGTATTGCAAGTATAACAAGTAAGTAGGTAGAGATTAATTTACCTGAACCAAAACTGGTTATAAAAAAGTAAATTATTGGGTTCCATCTAAATAATAATTGTTTTTGCAGTTCAGGTTAAGCTTGGATACAGCTTGTTTTGGTAGTAAAGTACAAAGTACAAAGCCTTAGCATCTGTATACAGCCTTTGAGAACTTAGCGATGTCGGTGCCTACGACGCGACGCATCGACGGGTGGGGCTGGGCTGCGCAGATGCTTTGAAGAAGCCTGCACGCGCTCTCTTTGCCAACGCACCACACTACATCAGTTCGTTCAGACGACTAACCAAATATATATTTATAAACCGCAAGAAACATACACAAAATCTTTGTTTGAAACATTTTTCGCATTTTATTTGGAAAAAATATATAGAGGGTAAAACAAAATTGTGTACTCTAAAACATAAACATTATCAAAAAAAGTTAAAATGCTATATCTCTTTGGATATAGTTTTATAAGAACACCTTTAGTACAAAAGTTGAAGATAAACTAATTACAAATAATACAAATCAAATTTCACTACGATGGCATGCGTAGAATTTTAATTATATCCAGTAAAGTGAATGACTGTAATTTCCAGGTTTGGAAGGGGTTGAGGGAAAAAGCTCAAGGTGGAAAATCGGGAACTTTTTGAAAAAACACGTCTTAAGTGGTTCCATTACATATAACAAACTCAGCTTTCCACTATTTAGCTACGGAAAAAGGCAGTTTGTGCGTTTATTGGCTGGGGTAGGTGCGATGACGCAGCGCAGAGGTGTTGAACTAGCCCGCACGCGCTCTCTTTGCCGACGCCCAGCTCTTCACCCGGTCACCTAGATGACTAACCAATAACATATTTGTAAACCTTGAAAAACGTACTAAAACTTTTGTTTGAACCATATTTGCGTATTATTTCTAATTAAAAATATACATAGAGAAAAACAAAATTTTGCACTCTGAAACAAAGCTTTTAACGAAGTTTAAATTTTATATCTCCCTAAGTATTGGTTTTAGAAAAATGTTGTAAATACAAAAGTTGTAGGAAAACTAATCAGAAATAAAACAAAACAAATTGCAGCTCGATAGCTTACATAGCATTCAAATTATGACTAATTAAGTAAAACACTGCAATTTCTATGTTTGGAGGGGGGTGGGGGGGAAAGCTCAAGGGGTAGAAGTGGGGACTTTTGGGAAAATACACCTCTCATGTGGTTCTATCACATATAAAAAATCCAGCTTTCCACCATTTAGTTGCGAAAAAGGGTGTTTTATTGCATTCATTGACTGGGCTAAGAAGGCAAGAACTGGATAAATGAAATAGGCCGCAAGCTGATTGAAAGAACAGGTGACTTTAAAGCAAGGCGCTTCCTAGTCCAACGGATTGCCATGGCCATTCAAAAAGGAAATGTGGCCAGCATCATTGGATCCTTACCCGCAGGCGACGACCTTTCATCAATATCTTATTTGCAAAAGTTTGTATACTATATTATTAATTTACTAGTGTCCCTGTTGCTCGAATTCGAGCAATTGCTAAGTATTACAGGTGTTATTTTAAAACGAATAACAGTCATAATTTCTGATGACTGAAAACGATTCGACTCAAATATTATGGAAATACTCAAGATGTACATAACAGATTATATCATTTTATCTAGGCTTTTTCGCTTTTTTCCATTGTAATATTTACGCCAACCCAAATTCAAATAGTAAATATTTCATTTCAACAAAGTCAGTAAATGTTTGTAGCAAACTTATTGACTGTTTACAATTAACATATGTTCTTCTTCTCACTTTTAATTTCTGACAACAGCTGGAGTTTCATAACAATTTTTTGTTTCCCACGTTAATCTTATGGAGAAATACAAAACTTTAAAGGGCCCCAGGGCCTCACTCTCTAATTATTTCCATGAAAAGAAAGTTTCCTGCACAACTTTACGTTACGCTCTTTCCAATGACACCAAAAACATGTCAATCGGTTCAGTAGTTTCGGAGGAGTAATTGCCACAAAAAACCTGCTTGCGTATTAAATAAGTATAGATATTAAAAAGTTATAAGATTAAAAACAAAAAATGCAAACAAAATTCGCCGATAGATTGTTAATCCATGCAAAATTATTGTTTGAAATGTGTTTATTAGTTTAATTGGAGCGACCCAGGATGGTTGGAAATGGTAAAAAGGATGGATAAAAGAAGAAAGCAATATTGAGTAATTGAATGGAAAAGTTTTAGAAGACAGTGTTATAAATGGTTGGACATAAAAGAGAATTTAATGATGAAAGGAAAATATCCATTGTACAGTAAGTGGAAAAAGAGGAGCTTCAAACCTGGGAGTCAGGACTTTCAAAACAATTATATGAGTCTTAAGCTTGTACAAAAATTGCAGCACCTTGAACAACTTTCAAAATCTCAAATCCTGCATGTTTACTCAAGAACTGCTTTTTATGTCCCTTGTTCTAAAAGGGACTCGAAACCTTAGATATTCTACTGTTACATACCACGTATAAGGCCTGCACGCACCGGAGCGGTGGCGATATTGGAACGTTCTTTTATCTACCCAATCCAACATCACTGCAGCAGTGGTATCGCTGGGGCGTTCACACCGGAGAGATTCCGCACCGCAGCGGTGACGGCAAAATACAGTAATTGTTTGTCCTCATTTATGAGAGTGCAGTCAACAAGTGTGGTGTGTCGTTAGTAATAAATATGTTTATACCAGAAGACGAGGAAGAAATGTTGCTGTTGTTTGCTGTAGCTGAAGACAACAATTGCAAAAATAGGCAGTGGGTATGAAATCAACAAAAGGTGATTTGAGCATGGCGAATAGTGAATACCATACATTGATGCCTAAACTTAGAAAAGAGAAGAAACACAAATGCCAGGCTCGTCGCTGTTGCCACTAGGCAGTGAAATGGAACATGCTGCATGGAACATGCTGCATGGAACATGCGGTAGTACGGGCGGTATACCGCTACCGCTTGCACCGGTCCAGTCTGGCATTTACTTCCATTGTACTAAATCACTGCACGAATATTGCACTACAAACGCTCTGCCGTACCACTCCGGTGTGTGCACCCCTATAGAGTAGTGAATTAATGGAAAAGGTCTGGTATATCTACTGTGGTTAAATCAATAGTCAAAGGTAAAACACTTTTATCTTATGAATGCTATAGAGACAACCTTTAACAGTTTCTGCTCTGTAGTTTTTCTGTTGAGTCTTGCTACAAATACAGTGTTCTGTGGGTTGTTAGTGGTAGGCGGAGGATGATAATTGGAGGCCAACGCTCTAGACACAGCCCTGTCATGTGCGACTACATCTGTACCATCAATACTCCCAGCCTTTAGTGGGTCGTAGATCAAGGCTTGCGAGGAGAAGAACTTACTCAGAATCTTCTTATCTTGCTCCTGGAAATTGTTTTTGGATTAGAACACAAAAATGCTTGATTTGAAAAATATCTCTGTGCACCTTCCTATTAGCAACAACTGACTGATCTTTTTTATAATAAATCCTATCAATTGACTATAAATTTCAAAATGTTAAATCCTGCATTTGAGGCTATTGTACTAAAATAACATTAAAATTAATCTTTACGATTAAAATTCTAAGATGGCAGAGGTACTGCAAACTCTTAAACTATGGTGCAGCTAACAATGATAACGAACAGCACTGCCTCTCACTGGCTCTTAGTACATGTAGACTTAGTAACATGTAGTCTAAACAATTATTATATGTTAGTCCCTAACGTCCAGTGCTCGAATTTGTAGGGGAACGCAGTGGAATAGAGTTTCGATACCTCTCTTTCAGAAAGATAAAAATATTGACATAAATAGGTACATACATAGGTACAAATCACATTAAATAGCAGTTCCGGCACCTATTTTTTTACAAATCGAGCACTTCTAACGTCTTCTCTTACCTTTATGTCTACACCTTGTTGAAAATCATCTCCATAAAGGCTATCATTATGTTCTACGTCATGATGGTGTTCTTTTGCCATTGTGCCAATACCTGTAATAGGAATTTTTAATAAAATTCAGTTTAATAACATTTAAATTAACTTACCATACCTTAATAGCTCCTCCTCTGTTTTAACCCAGTTTAGACTGCACAATCTGTGTCATTATTATTGTAAAAACCTCTATATGGTAATTTAAAACATACAAACTTCCGTTTATTATTATCATTCTAATAGTTGTTAACAATTTTGGCAATGTAGTTCAGGCTGCTGATGCTTGAGTCGCAGTAGTCGGTAGTGCACCTCTGACCTAATGAATCATTTTGTATTAAAATGCATAATAAAACAACAAAACTATGACCAAACAAATTAATTTCATCAACAAATATGACATTTTACAACCTACAATGAAAGCAATATTAAAAACCAAACTGCCTTACCGACATGCCCGAGGTGGAGTAATTCGGGCTGCTGACGCTACACTGCAACAGCGCTGTTCAGGTAACGGTAGCTTCCATTAAGTGTTTACTCTAGTACGTGTATACTGACAACTACAATAAGGATAAAATAAATATTGTTCAGTATCAACAAACAATTTATACTATATTATATAATATATTATTATATAATATTTTAAACATCTTTGCCACCAAGACTGATATTCGAATATATAATAGGTTACGTGCCTTGGTCCGTCTTCAGTCTTATTTTAGTCAATAGATGACTAGTTTCGGATACAAAGACCCATTGTCAAATCCTTTTTGAAAACGTCATGTAGAAGCTGGTCAAAAATCTGACGGAAGTCTTCATGATTATATAAATACAGGTTAACACATAAGTTAAAGTTTATTATTAAAAAAAAAAAAAAAAAAAACACAAGTTACGGAACATATAAGACGACTGATAGGCTGGCCACATTTAACACGGGACAAACCGACACAGGTTACACGGCGGACACAACAGAACTATCCATTGTCCAGTAAGTGACATTGACCTTGGGGGAGGGTATGTCCAAGAATATGTCCACTTCGAGAATAGATCCATTTTCTCCGACAGTAATAAACTCTGCAATTAATAAAATTTTTTACAAAAGATATGTGGACGACATATTCTTGGTTTTTAAAGGCAACTCCAGACAACTGCAGCTTCTGAATAATTACTTTTAAATAACATATCTTCTAATTTGAAGTTTACTTTGGAAGTCAAACTAAACCAATCTTTAAACTTCCTGGATTTAACGCTTACCAAAGACAATGACAACATAAAATTCAAAATACAGGGTGATTGATATAAGTGTGCCAGCCGTTTTATTCGAAAACTATAAGAGATATAAAAAAAAGTTAAATGGTAAGTGCCTTGGATTTTTTATTTAAAAAATTATAGTCAAGTCAAAAAAATTATTTTAGCCGCCATTTTTCCAATATGGCCGCCAACTTTGATTTTTCTTATGGAACACCCTGTATTTTATGATGTATTCTGGTATAAAAAGTAATTTTAAGACGATTTTATTCTTGTGATTTTTTTCATAAACCTCACCGTTTCAAAGATAATAATGGTTTAAGTTGTGAAATTTTGAATGGTTTTCGAGCAAAACAGCTGGCATGCTTGCTTAGGCCTTTATCGAAACTCTTTCTCATGCAGAAATTTCAAAACTTTAACCATTATTATCTTTAAAACGGTTAGGTTTATGAAAAAAATCACAAGAATAAAATCGTCTTAAAATTACTTTTTCTACCAGAATACATCATAAAATACAGGGTGTTCCGTAAGAAAAATCAAAGTTGGCGGCCATATTGCAAAAATGGCGGCTAAAATAATTTTTTTACCTTGACTACAATTTTTTTTAAATAAAAAATCCAAGGCACTTACCATTTAACTTTTTTTGATATCTCTTATAGTTTTCGAATAAAACGGCTGGCACACTTATATCAATCACCCTGTATACAGGAAGCCAACTACTACCGATCACACCATTCATGCTTCATCTAATCATCCACAAGCTCACAAAATCGCAGCTTACAACAGTTTCGTTAACAGAATGTTAAGAATCCCAATGTCACCAGAAGACTACAACTCTGAGTACCTCATTCTGAAACATATAGCTGTTAGCAATGGCTACCCCAGCAGTATTATTGATAAGATTATCAACAAACATAAAAACAAAATTAGTAAACCGATTGATAAACCCAGCTACTTTGTATCTGTCCAATTCGGAGCCAACCTACACTATACCTTAAAAACGAATTAAAGAAACATAAAATCACCTTAGCCAGTAAAACATCAAACAAACTAGAACGTCATTTGAGCCAAAGCAGCCGTAAACAAAATGATAACGATTTAGATGACACAGGTGTTTACAAACTTTCGTGTAATGACTGCTCAAAATTATACATAGGCCAATCGGGACGTTCTTTCAACACCAGGTTTAAAGAACATCTCCCTAAACCAAAACTGTCACTACAACGTTCCAAATTTGCAGAACATTTAATAAATACCAAAATCACAGTGTCAATACCGGTAGTTGCCAAAATAATTTACAAATCCTGCACAAATGCAGTAAAGGCCCTCTCATGAACGCCTTAGAGAGTCTCGAAATTTACAAAGCTAATAAAAAATCCCCTCATTGTCTTGAATGAAAAACTAAATTTTGGTTCAAATATTTTATTCGACAGAATTGAAAGCATTGACAACAGAGCTAATACAAGTCTTTATCAGCTGACGTATCCCCTCCACCAAGGTCAATGTCACCAACTGGACAATGGATAGTTCTGTTGTGTCCGCCGTGTAACCTGCGTCGGTTTGTCTCGTGTTAAATGTGGCCGGCCTATCAATCGTCTTATATGTTCCGTAACTTGTGTATTTTAAATAATAAACTTTATGTGTTAACCTGTATTTATATAATGATGAAGACTTCCGTCGGATTATTGACCAGCTTCTACATGATGTTTAGAAAAAGGATTTGACAGTGGTCTTTGTACCCGAAACTAGTCATCCATTAACTAAAATAAGACTGAAGACGGACCACGGTACGTAACCTATTATATATATATATATATATATAGGCTATATATAATAAGGTCAAATACTTCCTATGCAGATAAGAACGTAGCCACTAAGAGATTTATTGATAAGGATAACCTGCCTTTGCTCATAGACGAATTAAATATCGTGGACTGGAACTGTTTAGGCCTACAACTCACTACAGAGCCTAATACTGCATTCAGGTTATTTCTCGACTTGATCCAGGATAAGTTTGATGTAGTGTATCCGCTGAAAATCTATAAACTTGGTAGTAAAAAGACTAAATGTACAGCCATTGACAAATCCTGGTACTCCTCACACCTTAGGAAATTGCGTTCCTTAGTGATCTTAGTGCACGATCATTACAATCTTGCTGTTGGCCTAAATCAAAAAGTTAAATTCTTTGCTCTATATTCTAAACTAAAGAAAGACTACAGTGCTAAAGTTAAGGAAGCAAAGAAAGTCAGCAATGTAAACAAAATATTGAAGGCGTCCAATACTTGTAAGGCTGCGTGGGATGTCGTAAATGAGCACAGGAGGTCCAGCCCTAGCCCTAAGATAACTGCGTCCCCTGATGTTTTTAATGACTATTTTGTCAGGATAGCTGATGATATCATCAACAACTTCTCCTTGTTGCAGCATGAAGATCCGGTTGCTGCAGTCACTGATTATGCCACTAACCACACACTAACAAGTTGGACTGAGGTGAGTGAACGTTACATTATAAGTCTAGTGAAGGGCTTCAAAAACTCTGACAGCCAAGATGTAAATTTGGTATCTCCTGTTCTATACTTAAAGGTATTATACATCTGATATGTACACCGCTAACTAAGCTAGTTAACTTGTGCTTACTAAAAGGGTCCTTTCCAGATGTCCTAAAAGTTGCTAGGACCATTCCAATCTTTAAAAAGGGAAATCCCTCAGATCCGTCTAACTACCGCCCCATATCTATCTTGCCGGTGTTCTCTAAGGTACTTGAGACTGTGATGAAGAGGCAGCTAATTAAATATTTTGAAGGTAACAACTTGCTTTCGGATGCCCAGCACGGCTTCCGAAGTGGGCGCTCAACTACTACAGCCCTAATGAATCTGACTGACCTCATCTCAGATGCCTTTGAGTGCAATGACTCAGTCATGCTGAGGTTATGCGATCTGAGTAAGGCGTTCGATGTTGTTTCCCACAACATCCTTTTAGGGAAACTGAAAAAATATGGTATTGGTGGTAGAGTGTTGTGCTCTTTGCAGAATTATTTAGAAAATCGTAGGCAATTTGTATCAGTGAACGGAGTGTCCTCAAATGTCCAGGTTGTTCCCCAAGGCGTTCCTCAAGGTTCGGTGTTAGGCCCTCTACTGTTTAGCATCATGATAAACGACCTTTGGCTAAACGGCTGCACCCTCCTCTTTGCAGACGACACCACCCTGGTGACTAGAGGGAAAGACATTAACCTGTTGAGGGATACAGCGGACGAGTTGTTTGTTGAGGCTAAGTCCTGGTTTGTTGCTAATCGCTTCAAAATAAATTAAGAAAAGTCTCAATCTTTGATGTGCACCCTCAAGTCGAGGACTGATCATGAGGAAGCTGTGAAGTTGCTTGGGTTTTGGCTGGACTCTAGGCTAAACTGGTCTAGCCACATTGATAAGGTATGCGTTAGGTTATCCAGAGTTCTCTATCTGCTAAGGAAACTCCGAGATGAAATCACTAAGACCTATCTGGTAACCATATACCATGCCTTATTTCATAGCCATTTGATGTACGGAATAGTGCTCTGGGGACACTCCCCTGCATGCCATGAAATACTTCTGCTACAAAAAAAAGCTGTGAGGGTGATAACATCTAAAGGCCCAAGAGAACATTGCCGACCCATCTTCAAAGAGTTGGGAATCCTCACAGTGGTGAGCCAGTACATACTTAATAGTCTGGTCTTGCTAAAGGAAAACCTAAGTGATTTTGTGACCCGAGGTGATAGGCATGAGTATGGAATAAGAAGGGCCCATGACCTGGATATGCCTCGCTGCCGCTTGAGCCATACCTTAAGGAGATACCCCCGATCGGCTATCAAAATCTACAACTCCCTTCCAAACCACCTAAGGAACCTTGACGGTACAGCGTTTAAGTCCGAGCTGAAGAACTTGCTCACAAATAGGCCCCTGTATAGTCTTGACGAGTTGTCAAATGATCCTTTGATGCCAGGTTGAGAAATAGACACGCTTGCCACAGCCTAAGTTTCAAGTTTTAAGTTTTATGATACTTTGTAAAACAAGTTTTGTATATAATAATTTTGTAAATATTAGTATAACGACGCAATCTATCCGATATATTTCGGTCAAAGATTAAGACAACAAGTATTCAAGTATATATATATAATATTAGCCTATTATGAAATGAAACTGTTCTAAACTAACCTAAGCAAAACCAACCACTTGCTGTATCCATAATTTCAAAATTCCGTTTGATAGCCTGTTTCCCCATATGCCTTTTCTGTTATCAAACGGAATTTTTAAACGGTAATCTTAGCCTACGCAGCAAGTTTGGTTAGTTATGTTAAGTTAGTTTAGAATAGTTATATTTATTTTCTTAATCCAAAATATAGCCTAGCAGGCAATTATTTTTGCCTAAACAAGATTAGTTCTTAATTTGTAATTTAAATGTGTTTGAAGATATTAAAACAGAAGAAATATGGATCGTAAAGGAAATCATAAATATCGATATAGCCTATCGAAAAGAAATCATCGATTATAATGAATGTACCCTTTAACAGGTAAGTACCAGTAATTTAAGTTACGAATGTACTAACCCTCAAGAAAAGAGCATAGCGTTGATGGACTTACATCTCTAATTAATTACTGTAACTTACCATGAAAGCTAGTAACTTATTCATTCATTGATAAAACAAAAATATTACGAAAAATATAATTAAGGATATATTACTAATTAATATACTAGGCCTATTATAGGTTAAACTTAAGAGCTATTAAATATCTTCAGTCGCTAACAAAATAAAACATTTTCTCAACAAGAGCAGACCTCAGACTCAGACAAATACTAATAAACAAAACAATAGCCTGCATATTAAATCACTTATCAAAAATGATATATTATTCATTTCATTACGATTCACAAAAATAATTGCATTCAGTTAACTTAATTTGTATTGCCTACCTACAACAGCTCATAGCTCAACTTTCTTAGAAAATTTAAGTTAGATACATTTTACCATTGCCATTGACTAAGTTTCCCTTGTCTGTGATTTTACATTGTTATTGTTTGTTTTTGTTTTCTTTCGCTGCTGGTTAGGTTAATTCAGAATTAGAAGTTCTTATTCTTCTTGTTCTATCGCTTGTTTACAGCGATTCCTTTTTCTTTTAAGACCGACTGTTTCTTATAGGGGTAGGCTAGCGAGATCCAGAACCATGCAGCACTAGCGTTACAGTAACGAGTAAAATTACTTTTCACCGATATTTGCTAGCCTAACCAATGATTATGAGGCTCAAAAAAGTTTTATCATAGATAAAACGATAAAACGGAGGTATCCCCACACGCCCACCTTTAACTCCAGGCCGCGGCCTTCGTGAAGTGGCAACGTAACAAGTAGGGTTGTAACAGCTGTTTTGTTTGGAAGCAGGTACCTAATGTATTTGTGTATTTACGGAAGCTTGGTTACTGGACTATGAAAATATTGACTCCGCTTTAAATGTACAGATATAACAATTTTAATTCATAATGTTTTGGTTTTAATTCTGTATGTTTTATTTTCAATATTTTAAATTTATGCTCATAAATTTAAATCAATAAAGTGCGAATTAATGAGCTGATGTCACCTGTCCACCATGTTATCTTATGGGACGTATGACACTAAACAACCCTACTTGCGACGTTGCCAAGTCTTCTACCAGACGTCACATAAGATAACATGGCAGGCAGGTGACACTAGCTCATTAATTCGCGTATTTTTCATTTAATTTTATGAACATAAATTTATTAAAAGATTGAAAATAAAATATGTAGAATTGAGAAACAAAACAATATAATTAAAAACCTATTTTTGTGCATTTAAAGCGGAGTCATCAATATTTTCATAGACCCGTAACCAAGCTTTAATTCTTAAACCATACATCAAAACGGTTAGCTGCTTCCTTAAATTAAATAGCTGCCTTTCTTTTTACTTGAAAGAAATAGTTATTTTTCTTTTCGGCGCATTTATAAGGTCTAGGAAAGTTCAAAAATGACAAAACAACAAGTAAGAAAATTATTTTAATTTTTAATGTAAGCGTTTAGGAGTGTAAACGCAAGCAGAAAGCAGATGATGAGGAGCAAGCTGTAGTTAGATAGTCGCTGGTCTGAGTGGTGGGGATGAGCAAAGACAGAGACAGCTGGGTTAATATTTCAAAATTTGATCCAAAAAGGAAACAAAACTTCTAAATATAAAGATACTAGCTGTACCCGCTTTGCCCCGTTTTACCGTGCATGTAGTTGGCACCTTATATGTAGGCCTACAAATCATGTATTTTTCAAGTCAGTGGAAGTTTATATTTCCTTATAATCGATGGCATTTTCCAGATATATTATACATTTTACACAGAGTTTTACATTTAATTTGAAGGACAACTAGGCTCATAATTAAAGAAAATTTTTATATCTTGAACATCTACATTGAAACAACAAAAACCAGAGTACACCATGTTAAATTCTTTAATTAATTATAAACTAGATTTTGAGTATTTGAAACTTTATGAAATCAATAAAAGCATTCTTGAAACAAGCTTTAAAATTGTTTGCTTTTTTCAGATGAACATTTGCCTGGATAGTAAAGTTCCGTTTGATAACATTTTTCCGGTAAGTAAAAAATAAATTTTACCTGAATAAGTAATATATTTTACAAAAATATCATTGTATTATTTAGTAGAAAGTGTTAAAAGTGTGGTTAAGTACAAAGGAGTACAGGCAAAACATAGCTAAAAAGAGAAATAGCTTGCAAACTGCATATCTCAGAGAGAACTGTCCCCTGCTGATCCGTGGGGCTAAGGATCTAGCAAATATCTTAACCCATTGGGGAAGGAATTAATGCGCTGCCTGCAGCACCCTCTGTCGGCAAATAATTTTACCGAATTTGTAGACTTTTACTCTAATTACCATAGAAAGAAAACCTTAGGTAGTAAATTAATAATTCTTTCACCATGTTGTTCTACAGAAAAGTGGTAATTGGATAGTCAAAGTGTAAAACCAAAGATTACATATGCTACGCAAAATTTTGCATAGCATATGTAATCTTTGGTAAAACTAAAAAAACTAAAATTATAAATTTTATAGAATTAAAACTTTTAAAAACAATTTTTTTAAAGTAAACTTGATATACAAATTCCAAGATTAATCCAGACACCAAATAACTTTACTATTATAAAGTTCAATTGATTCCCTACGTAGAAAAATCAAAAGTTGTGTACTTTTATAAGCAACTAGTGTCCCTGTTGCTCGAATTCGAGCAATTGCTAAGTATTACGTTATTTTAAAACGAATAACTGTCATAATTTCTGATGAATTAAAAAAGATTCGACTCAAGGGTTATGGAAATACTCAGGATGTACATAACACATTATATCATTTTATCTAGGCTCTCTCGCTTTTAGCGAATTTCCCATATAGGGAATAAGCTATTACCGTAGTACTCATGGTAAGACCTGGACCCGGGACCGATTTTTTTTTTGTTTTGAGGTCCCTAGAGGCCAAAAACACCATCCGTTCAAATTCATATATATATATATATATTTATATATATATATATATATATATATATATATATATATATATATATATATGTGTCCGTTAGCGCGATAACTCGAGCAAAAATGATCCGATTTTGATGAAATTTGGTACAAACGTGTAAACCTACGTTTATTCGAACGAGTTCGCGAACCAGCATGATCGGACCATGGGAACAGGGGTTTATGGGGGCTTTTATGGGGTAAAAATGGGTTTTTCCTATTTTTGACCCAAAAAACATAAAATTTTGAAATTTCTTTCCAAACTATTTTGTAGAGCTTAAAAAAACAAATAATTTGGTATATTGTAGCGTTATAATGCGCCTAATGGTTACGGATAAAATTCCAAAAAATTGTTAATTGAAAATTCCCATGTTATTCTTATGGAGAATAAGTAAACTGTTGTAGTGTGCTTGTTTATTAACATATTTTGCCCAAATTTGGAAAATGTTTTTATTTCTTACCAACTATTAACATTTTACATAAAAAAACACTTTTACCCTCCCTGTTGCAGCAAACCTAAGTATGTGTTAAACTGATTCTATTTAAATAGGGAATAAATGTGATATTTTTAAGGATACATTTTAGTCTAAATCCAATCAGGCAAATGGAAATTCGCTTAGTCTGCAGGTTTGCTGCGGCGGGGGTATTTTCCATTGTAATATTTACGCCAACCCAATTTCAAATAGTAAATATTTCATTTAAACCAAGTCAGTAAATGTTTGTAGCAAACTTATTGACTGTTTACAATTAACATGTGTTCTTCTTCTCACTTTTAATTTCTGTCAACAGCTGGAGTTTCATAACAACTTTTGTTTCCCATGTTAATCTTATGGAGGAATACAAAACTTTAAAGGGTCCCAGGGTCTCACTCTCTAACTATTTCCCTAAAAAGAAAGTTTCCTGCACAACTTCACGTTACGCTCTTTCCAATGACACCAAAAACATGTCAATCGGTTCAGTAGTTTCGGAGGAGTAATTGTCACAAAAAACCTGCTTGCGTATTAAATAAGTAACTAGTGTCCCTGTTGCTCGAATTCGAGCAATTGCTAAGTATTACAGGCATTATTTTAAAACGAATAACAGTCATAATTTCTGATGACTTTAAAAGTTTCGACTCAAAGATTATGGAAATACTCAAGATGTACATAACAGATTATATCAATAATTTATCCAGGCTCTCTATCTTTTTTCCATTGTAACACCACAAGTTCAAATAAACTGTCAAATTAGCAATCTTATTGGCTGTTTTCAATTAACATAATATGTTCTTCTTCTCACTTTTAATTTCTGACAACAGCTGGAGTTTCATATATAACAATTTTTGTTTCCCATGTTAATCTTATGGAGAAATACGAAACTTTAAAGGACTCCAGGGCCTCACTCTTTAATTATTTCCATAAAAAGAAAGTTTCCTGCACAACTTCACGTTACGCTCTCTCCAATGACACCAAAAACATGTCAATCGGTTCAGTAGTTTTGGAGGAGTAATTGTCACAAAAATCCTGCTTGCGTATTAAATAAGTTATATAGATATAGATAGATAATGTAGACAAAAAATTCTTTGTTTACCTTACCACAGCTGATTTTTGGTGATATCTGGTTTCCATGGTATCACAAAATTGTTTGTCATTCGCTAAAATAAATGAGTATAAATACGCAAATCAAGAAGCAATATATTTATAAACATTATAAAAGTAAGAAGAAACAAAAAGGGAGGAAAATAATAATAATTAAATAACTAGTAGCGCTGCGTAGCAGTGACATGAGCGGCACTCATAAATCGGCCGCCGGGCCTGCAGCGGCCGTACGAGTAACGCTCGTAAGTCGGTGCCAATGGGCTTCCAACTTCCACCAGGCTTCCACAGTCACAGTGTAGGCTGTCCAATCTTCATCTTGACTTGAAGATAGTGGCCGATGTTTCAGATGAATTGCAGCAATCCATCTTTGGGGCAAACTACAATCCAACCATTGCATGGAAGAACAATATTCCACAGTAAAAGGAAATATGTATGTTTAATTGTTTAATCCATGCTAGTATTTCACAAAATACCTAGATCTGTGGAGGATTTCTGCAAAAATGAAAGAAGTCAGATGATTCTCAGCTGAGCAAGAAAAAACTGACTTTTCCTACAGTTACCCATCAATGTACATGTTCCCTCACTGATTTTAGAAAGCAAAGTGGCCAATTCGCTCATCAGTGAGACAATATGTTAACATTGTCTCACTCCAGATTTGCAACATGAAGGCACGAAATAGTGAGCGCGTAACATGCAGACAAGGTCGTATGAGCGCGAAATACGTTGGCAGCACTGGCTGTAAATCAGCTGTGTGTGGTCATCTGTTGTACTGTTGTATTTGTCACTTCACATTAAATGTCATATTAAAAGTTCACTTCTGTGTAAAAATATGTCACGTTTCTTTACCAATTTATTTGTTTTATGGTAACCGTAGGAAAAATATTATGTGCAACTCGAGTGCAAAGTGCAATTGCCTCACTCGAGAAACCATTCCTCACTCGCCTACGGCTTGTGAGTACCTAAGTATTTCTCTCGAGTGAGTCAATTGCTCCCTTTGCTCACTAGTTACACAAAATAACTATTGTTTTTATCTTTGCTCATTTTGTCATGAATCTATCAGCCATATTCTGATCGAAAGAGAACAGCTCCTCTAGCATTTACTCTATGTCTCCGGGCCTCTGGAATCGACTGAGATATAAAACGACCCTGCAATAAGTAAGTATGGAATCCTTATTCCTTTTTTGTTTAGAGAGAATGACATCACGATTGTTTATTTTATTTTGCAGAACAACACAGATGTGGTAGAACTGGATATCTACAAGAGTGGGGTATACTTGGGATGTCAGTATGGGTTGGTATCCCTGTACATATGGGGGGTGGGGGTATTAGCAGCTGGAGAAGGGGCAACAATGATGGGATGTTACGCTGGACAACTGACCATGGAGGTAAATAATAATTTAAGTTATACTTGGTTGTTTGTTTAGAAAAATCTCTGCTTGGATATCTATATTTATAAGAGGAAGTTGTATATATATAGTATATATATTTGAACATTATGGATTCCCAAACCGCTCGACAGATTGTAATGAAACTTTCAGGCATTATTAATCATTATTCAAGGATGGTTTGTGTGAAGTTTGGTGCAGATCTGTCAAAAGGGCTCCTCCCCAGTGGCTCTGGAGTTTCCCATGTTAACCTTATGAGTACTTATATTTAAATTGAATTATTAAAGAATCTTAACAGCTGGTTCAACTAAACAATTTGATTCTGTGATGTTCAATAGCATTAAAAAGTTAATAGGTTTACCAACAGGGTGCAGCACTATTATTTTTTAAATTTATGACAACAGCTAATTTGCAACCAAAAGGTGAGTGAGCGTAGCGAACAAACTTCAACCTGGAGGCGAGTTAGCGTAGCGAACGAGCTAACCTGAAGGCAAGTGAGCGCAGCGAACAAGCTCCAACCTAAAGGTGAGTAAGCGTAGCAAACGAGCTTCAACCAGGACATGATTTAGTGATGCGAACGAGCTCCATCTTGAAAATGAACGAGCATTTGACATAAAACCACATTAGGACAGGACGACGTCTGTCGGGCCAGCTAGTATAATATATTCCTTAAAAACATAATAAATATGAAATATACCTGTTCATACTGCTCATATATCACCTGTGAATTTAAAACCAAACTAAGAATTTACATATTATGTGTACAAATATAAGGAAGAGAAATATCTAAAATAAGGAGCATTTATTAACACTGAAATTAATATTGTCTTAATAAATTGCCATACGATCTTCTTAGCTACCTATTCCTTTTGCCCCATTATATTTTTTTCATATTTGAATGTTTTTTTACTTAATTGTTGATAGTAATTAAACATATTGGCCATATAAAATATACCAGGGGTTCTCAAACTTCACCTACTCAAGGACCCACATAGTTTTAATTATGTATGTAACACGGACCCCCTACAATTAACTTAACCCCACCACCCCCTATTAACCACCCCCCGATGACCTCTTAATTTTTATTTTAAATATTGATCATTTCAAAAGATGATTTATTTATAATAGGATAAGGAATAGGTTAAACAAATAAATAACCAACAAACAAACAAACCAAAACTGTTATTTTCAGAAATATGCACTTGTAAGTATACTGCATATCTCCAGAGAGAACTGTCCCCTGCTGATCCGTCAGGCAAACCTATAAGCAAATGTCTTAAAGGCTTCCACAGTCACAGTAGGCTGTCCAATCTTCGTCTTGGCGAATTGTTGAATCTTCGTATGAGTGATTAAAAATAAATTTGATTAAAATGGTTTTTGTGGACCCTCAAAAACTGCTTGCAGACCCCTAGGGGTCCGCGGACCACACTTTGAAAAACTCTGGATACCATAGAAGAGGTGTATAGTCAATGATATTGGCTATCATTAAAGTTATTAGTATGTTGCAAAAACAATATGCATGATTATATGTTGTATGCAAGCCAAGTGATAACAACAATATGACAACAACAATATGTTCGACACATTACTGTGAAATGCTCTATTTTTGTTACATATGTTTATCACCTCCATTTCGTTTTGTCACAAGAGCAAGAAACTCCCTGACTGCTAACCCGGTACCTATAATTAAACATACCCGGGCCCCATGATGTAGGCCGAAGCATACGCACCGACCTTTGGTACACCATGGGAGGATGACTTAAGGTCATCAAGCTCACCGGCTGCCGAAGCACCCCTTCGGAAAGAGGGTTGCCCCTCAATCCTAACCAGGGATACCGGCTACTTGTTTAAGCGTCACTTCACCTGGGTTCCCCCAGGTACGGAACCCAGAAGGACCATAGTGAAATGCCCTGACGCATTTAGTGCAAGCAACACTCGGGACCTATCCAATCCCTGACAGGCAAAACCCGCCATCAAAGCCAGGAAGAAGGGGACCACCAGCAAGCTGATGGGGGAAACCCCAACCACCTATTTACACCACTACCCGATCGAGGCCTTACCCAGTTGCTGGGAAACCAGAGGTGCCCAAGGCGATAGATCCCTGAACACCCCCAGCGGGCTTGAACCCAGCACCCGATCTACTTCGTTTGCCCATCAAGCCCAACATCACTGCCAGGCCATCAGGGTTTCCCAAAAGGAGGCAGGAATAGAAGTGGGTCCCACCCGGATGAACCTATCCACCAAAGGTGGCGACACCCTTTGCTCAATTGAGGTTCCAGGGAGAACCCCCCACACTCTAGATAACCATACCTTCCGGTCTCAGAGACAGGGATTGGCTGATGGAGTGCGCCCAGCCGTTGCCCTCACACTGCGGAAAGTTACGTTCCCCTAGAGTGTCCCCGTGAACTGACGGGTACTCGCCCGATTTCACCTCCAGGAAGGCTACTTCCAACGTCGAGGATTTGCCACACTGAATGCCGGTCGCACATCAACAAGCGGGCCAGAGCCCAAAGGATCATAGCTACAGGCAGATGATAGATTGGTGGCGCACTTCCACCTCTTGCAGAGCTGAACACCCCCCATAACCTGGATGGGGAAATGTCACTGGGTACTCTCACTTTGGGTAAACCCAAAGAGGCTGGCTTGTCCAGTCGTCCATAACTATGACCTACTTGAAATGCCGATTCCGACACCGAGCAGTTACCTCCCCTTTGGGGGCTAACTTACCCAATTTTTCACCTCCCAGGACGAGGCTACTTCCAGAGCCGAGGATATGCCTCACAAAATGTCAGTCGTACACAACAGGCAGGAAGAGCCCGAAGAACTCCAGTCACAACCACAGCTACAGGCAGGTGGGAGACCGAAGTCTCGCAGAGCTGAACACCCCTCCACCCTGAATGGAGGAAATGTCACTGGGTACTCTCACTTTGGGTACCACCCAAAGAGGCTGGCTTGTCCAGTCGTCCATAACTGTGGCCTACCTGAAGTGCCGGTTCAAACACCGGGCAATTACCTCCCCTCTGGAGGGCAAGAGCTAGGGTCCGCGTGGTCGCTAGGCCACGTACCCACGCAAGCGTGAGCCCCATGCGGCAAATTAATTGAATTGAATTAAATTGTAATGTTTATCACCTGTAAAAATTCATCATTACATTGTTTACTACGGAAAAAGAATGTTTACTATACAAAAGCTATGTTTACTATCTTTTTTGGATTTTGCCGACGTAAACAAACAAAGATTTGTTATTGTTTTGTTCACTTTTTCAATTTTCAACAACAAAACTGTACAACCAAAGTAAATATTAACTATAAACTGAAGGCATAACCTAAAAAATGCTTTGAGTTTTGTAATGAAACATCCAATGTATGTTTTAATTAAGAAAATAAATTAGTTTTTGTAGTGTAGCGAAAAGTAACGTTCAAAACACGAATGAAAGTGGGTCTATACATATTCTCGACCATTTAAAGTGCAGGATAAATTTCGCACTTCAAACATATGGTATCAAATAAATATGTAATGACTCACTTTCTACTCTTCTTACGAAATATTACTATTTCTGCATAGCAACTAAAATGCCTGGGGAGCAAGATTTTGTCTGCTAGGCAACCAAAAGGACTTAGGTCTATGTTAGAACGGAGATAACATTTTATTATTAGCTATTATTAATTTCCCAAATTCAGTGAATGAAGTGATTTGACTCTAGTCCTCTAGAAATATTTCACTTTTCTACATATATCTACAAAAATTAATATATCGCTTACAATAGTGTAAATATTTCCCAAAACATAAATATTTAATCTTTAATTATACATTCAAAAAACATTTATGACAGACCAATTTTTTATTCAACGGTAAATTTAAAAATAAAAACGCCAATTAAAAATACACCAAAAGAAAATACCTCCTGGGGCCCATTTCATAATAAACTACAAGTTACAAGTTACAACTTGTAATTTGTAATTTCCATAAGATTTGCATTGGGCGAACAGCTGATTTACTAATAATATTAGTTTGTACTTTATTATGAAATGGGCCCCTGGAATGACTTCAATTACAGTGTAGCAATCATACACTATACTCTTACATGAAGTGAATTTCATTGCCAGTTATTGCCTAAACATTTCACCTTTACAATTTCTGCTTTCTGCTTCGCAAACTCCTTCTTGAGGGAGGAGCCACATGTTCACCAGGGAGAGTGTTGAGTCCTCTGTAAGTGTTCGGAACTCGGCCACACAATACATCAGCCAATCGCGGGTCTATGTGATGCACCTCAGCTATTTCCTCACTTGAACTATCTTCATCTTCACAGTCGTCCGTAGATGTTTGTGATTGTAATTCAATTGATTCAGAAGACAGGCAGTTGTTTACACCATCTTTACGCAGGAGATTTGAAACTCTTTGTAATCTAAAAATAAACAAAAGTTTGATAAGTAGATGCACAGACTAACCAACACAATTAGACTTCCCATCCCATTGTAAAATTTGAAGCTCGTTTTTGTGTCTAGTTCATGTTGGTGACACTGGGCGCTATCAACAAAATTTTGTTTCTATTATTTTATTTAAATGGTTTGTGCTTTACTGTTTGGTTGTATAACTAGGGGACGAGTTGTTGTTTATGATTGAGCTTAGATCGTTTTATTTTGTTAATCGAGGTTTGAAATGACTGAAATAACAAGAAACAAATTGTAAACAAAAACACAAACTTAGCAGCACACAGAAGCAACAATAAAATTAGCTTCAGCTGATCCATAAGGATGACAAATCTACTAGGGGAGTTTTTTTTTTATTATTTATAGCACAGGTGATATTTTGAGTAGGTAGGTGTAACCATAGATAAAACATACTCCCTTAGTAGATTTATCATCCTAATGGAACAGCTGAAGACAATTTTATTGTTAGTTCTGTACGGTTCATGTAGAGGTCGTGTTTTGTTTACAATTTGTTTCCCGTTAATACAGTCATTTAAAACCTCGTTTAGCCAAATAATACGATCTAATCATAAACAATAACTTGTCCCCTAGTTATTTAACCAAACAGTAAAGCACAAATCAAGAAATTAACCCTAAAATAATATAAACAAAATTTCGTCGACACTAGCGCCCAGCGTACATGAACTAGACATGAAAAACGAGCTTCAAAATTTACAATGGGATGAGAAGTCTACTTGTGTTGGTTAGTCTATGGTGTAACTTATTTAGGTAAACAAAGTTCAATTTCCAGGAATTGAAAATACAAAAAAAATTTGTATGTTAGGTATAGAATAATTTTTATTAGTAGATGATTCACATAGGTAAATTATATAATAACTTTCAAAATTTACAATTCTTACAAAAAAAGACTAACAAAATTTAGGAAATCGGATGATTGTTTATGGAAAGGGCTTATGGTAAAAGGTTTTTGTGTTGTATGCAAAATAGAAAGACTTTGATCCAAGTAAAATACTTTTGATAAACATATATAACACATAAGTTAATTATATTAAGTTAATAAATAAGTTAATATAAGTTAATAAATTAATTGCATTAACACACTATCATTTGATATTGATTTATTTTTTAACCTTGCAACTTAGTTAGAAAATCAACTAATTATCTAACAAAATTTTTAAAGTTAAAGATTTTTTTTTTAATTCTCTTTTCAAAATATACACGGTAAAAAAACCCGCATGGAAGAGCAGTAGGCTTAATAGTTAGCAAGGTTAAAAAAACAAATTCACAAAATTTATTGTAAAAAAATTGCAACAAGAATGTAGGTAGAAGAGTCCAAGATAAGCAATCATGAAACAATGATTTAATTTCATTACAATTGATTTTTATCAGTAAATTACTAACTTATTTTTAAATAAAATTTTATTTTATTTTACTTACAACAAGTCAGACTTTTGAGCAGTCGTCATTACAAATACTGAGCTTATAGACCAAAGTATGAGCATACAAAGAACGTCCATATTCCATTTCAGACCATTTTTGAGCTTTATCTGAAAATTTATAATAAGTATAAAAATTCCCCCTGCCGCAGCAAACCTGCAGACTAAGCGAATTTCAACTTGTCTGATTACATTTTTACTCAAATATTTCCATAAATAAGACATATTTATTCCCTATTTAAATAACATTAGATTTAACAAGTGCTTAGGTTTGCTGCTACGGGGAAGGTAAAAAGTGTTTTTTGACCATACGTGAATAGTATGGGATGAAATAAATAAATTTGCCAAATTTTATCAATATATATCCATAAACAAGTAAACTACAACAATTTTTATTTTCTCCATAATAATAACATGGGAATTTTCAATTAAACTATTTTTGAATTTTCTCCGTTACCGTTAGGCATACAACAGTGCTTCAATATACTAAATTATTTCTTTTTTTAATCTCTACAAAACGGTTTAGAAAGAAATTGCAAAATTTTTGGTTTTTAGGGTAAAAAATGGGAAAACACATTTTTACCCCATAAAACCCCCCATAAACCCCTGTTCCCATGGTCCGATTATGCTGGATCGCAAACTCGTTTGAATAAACGTAGGTTTACACGTTTGTACCAAATTTCATCAAAATCGGATCATTTTTGCTCGAGTTATCGCGCTAATGGACACATATATATATAAAAAATATATATATATATATATATAAATTTGAGCAGATGGTGTTTTTGGCCTCTAGGGACTTCAAAATGAAAAAAAAATCGGTCCCGCGTCCAGGTCTTACCATGAGTACTACGGTAATACCTTATTCCCTATATGGGAAATTCGCTAACAAGTAAAAAATTGACATAATAATGTACTTTAAGCATTTTCTAGGATAAAAATTACGGTACATAATTCCCCAGGTATGATTATTATTCAAAACATGAGAGCAGTGGGTTTCTTTTAACTAAGCTGGAGAATTGTTTACCGTAATGTTCCCGGTATCAAGAACAATAATTGATTAAATATTTAGGTTTACCTTATGGTTGCCAGGTTCTGTAAGTGTTGATATGAGGAATGAGGCCCCCTTCATACATTGTCCGCCGACCAATTAAGTAAATAAATAGTACTGTATAATTATTTTTAGTGTTTTAAGTTATGAAAGTTATGCAAATATAAACTTTGCTCCTGATGATGCCATACACGTGACAAAAATTTACATCGAGCTTAGATCAACATACTTCATGAAACTGGCAACCATAAGATAAACCTACATATATTAATTAAGCATTCCATATTTTACAACCTCATATTGATAGGAGTTTTCCAATTTTAAACAGTGTTGAATGTGGTGTATGTACCTGCTTAATGCAGGTTTTCCTAGCTGTGAGGTATACATCGCAACCCGCGGAGTCCGCAGAGCACACAATCCACTTGATATGTAAGAATGTTTTCCTAGGAATAGTACGCACCCCCCCCCCCCCCCCCCAGCGGGGTTCAGACTATGGGACTCGCTGACTCATTCTAGTGGAGTCTATGTTGCAACGGGATAGCGAGGAGTTCGTGTTGTTGAAACTTGAAGTCCGCACCCCGCAAAGTCTAGGAAAACACTAGCCTGTCTTTGGCTGCGGTAGGGTAAAAAAAATTCATTGACCGCCGCACCCTGCTGCAGCGTATACTCCGCAGCTAGGAAAACCCGCCTTTATGGTGATCCACAGACTGCAGTTAGGTACCTACAAAAATTGTGCCATCTCAAGGATGTACTTAGACGTACTGTAAAGTATTGTAATAGTTCCCTGCTGGAGACTGTCACTTTTAAATATCATGACATAACAATAACAGTAAAAGCAAAATTCCAATTGCTTAAAAAATCTGCTAATTATTTTTTATGTGTTTTTGTCTTGGGTAGCCTATTTTTCGCAAGTGTTGAATTTCACACATATGTATTGAAATAGAAATTGCGGTAGGTACAGTAAGTTGGAATACTACAGGAATGCTAAATGGTTGTCTCTCTTAGTTCATCAACTGAGATTTTTTTTTCCTGTAGACTATGTCTTTTATTTACCCCTTTAGAAGAAATCACATAGCCTAGTGTGATTTCAGGAAAAAAGAGGAAGTCATTATGATCAGTTTTGTTCATTGCATCTGCTAATAAACTATTTTATTTCTAGGCCAAAAAATCTATTCAGATTAACAAACTCTACAACAATTAATCATAAATCAAACTAAACTTTATATTGTAGACGACTAGTCAATCCAACATACACTGGTAGAACATAGGCTAGTATGTTGAAAAGTAACAGTGTATAGCTTATGTATGAAATTGTACTAATCTTTTGTAGACTCCTTGTATCGTTAATATGACCGTTTGTTTAAGATGATGGAAAAGAGGAAAAGAAATTGTGCTGTTGGTTGTATAATGGGAATTTATGTTTAAGCTAAGAGAGTATTCATTGGGTTAGACAATATTCATTACTATAATAGGCTAATTGGGGAAAGTAGTGCACCTTTACTGTTACAAATGCGTACAAATATTAAAGCATTAGGCCTACCTCATGTAATGAAGTTGAGAGGACATCTAGCATCAGGTACTCTAACGTTTCCCAAATGAAAGTCATAGCATAAATAAATACCGGAAATACCAAACTTCCAATCAGCTAGAAAAAAAAATTAAATTAAAATAAGAGGGAAATTTAGTTTTTTTGTTGAAATTGGAGCAAAGATAATTTTTGCATATTCAGCAATTTGAATTTCTGTCTTAGCACTACGTAATTATATTTTAAATTTCAAAATAATACTACCTTCTTAAGCTCTAAACAGTATATTGGACACAAGAGCACCAGAACAAAACTTCCACAACATCTGTAATGAAGTACGACTCAACAAAATAAAATTGGCTAAAAGCTAGGTTCGATAATACGATGGGCACTAAAATATATGCTTTAAAAGCTTATACAATGCAATAAAATATAAAAATTTGCCCAACCCAAAAAAAAAATTCATAAACAAACAATCTAGCAAGCTATGTATTGTCTGTAAGGATAACATTGGAAGACCACAAAAAAATTGAGCTAAGTACTTTTAATATCTTTTTAACAAATAGACGTTGGATATAGGTTATTATAATCTGACCAATAAGAAATTGTGTTTCATAAATGAACTTCCATAAAAACCCATAGCGATTTAGGCTACTTACAGAGAATATTGTGCAGTTGAAATATTTCTTCAGATGAATCAGATGACTATTGATCTTATAAATGAATAGTACAACACCAAAATAATATAAAAACGTGCTACCCGGATTTGTCTTTTTACAATGTGATACTTCTGACGCAGAACGCAATAAATACTGCAACCCAACATATAAAATAAATTGAAAAACCGTCCAGATTATAGGCATCATTTCAATCGGTTCTGTTTTTGATTTGTTTGTTTGAAAACAATGAACATGTTTATAAGGTTGTGATAAACATATGACTTAATTTCAGTCATGTTTTTTTTTTTTTTTACCAAAACTGTGAGTTATTTGTGGCATTTTAATTTTATATTTTGTGCCTTTTAAGAGTTGAAAATTGACCATCGCCTGTGACAAAATGGAACTGTAGGATAAATTCAATTGTTTACAAAACAAATCCATAAAAAAATTATCATGCTTTATCATATTAATAATCTAATCTTAATTTGTTTTGTTTTACAGGGGTTTCTTCAGTTGAAATGGGTAAGATGGAAGAGAGTGATGTTTACCCGTTCCATTGCAATCCTGCCGACATTCTTCGTAGCGTTCTTCAGCACACTACCTGAACTCAGCGGCCTTAATGACCTACTTAACGCAATGTTCAGTGTTCAAATCCCGTTCGCAACTCTACCTCTCATAGCTTTTACAAGCAATCCTCGTCTCATGGGCCAATTTGTCAATGGGATGTAAGTAATATATTAATTAAACTAAAACTTGTAGTACATTTTCTAAGAAAGTATCACATTCTATAGTTGGTAGTCTAACATGAGTCATACTCATAAAAGGTCAAATAATTAATGGTTTGCAAAAGGAATTAATTTGAAATGTTTGCAGTATGTTATCTTTCTTTCATCATCAATGTTTTTTCAAACGTTTAAGTCTAATTACTAACACAATTTTTTTATTACCTATAAAATATTACAATCCATTTCAATTTGTTTAAACCTAAATTATTGTTTCCATCAGAGAACCTAAGTAAAACCACTGTAAAACTTTAATTAATATAGGTAGTGTAGTAACATCAAATTTTCTCAAAAATTAGTTAAAAACTTAAAAATATTAACTCATGATGGTTCAATCTTTTTTTAGTTTGGACAAGTGAATGGTTCCAAGAATTAAGACACATTATATACTGTATTATTATATAACAATCCAACATAAATTTAAACTTTGTACATCAGATAATTAATTGTTTTTCAGGGCAATGAAGACTGTGATGGTGCTTGTTTCGCTTGTTGTGATTGCTGTAAACGTAGTATTTGTTGCTTCATCAGTATTTTCCGCAGCCCTCGGAAACTGGTGGTTTTTGTCCTCGGTCGGTCTGTACACCGTATTGTACGTAACTATGTGCGGTTACCTCATACTGCACATGTTTTCCAATATGCCTGCCTCTCAGAATAAGTTTACAAAAGTCATAGTCAAAGACAATTGGACAAATGATGCAATGGACCATTGGGTACATAATTAAAATAAGTGCCAACTTTGACCAAAAAATCATACAGTATTTTGTTAAGCAGCTTATATTTTCCGTGACAATGGTTAGTTTTCTCGTACTGGAAAATTAACGACTACACCACTGCATATGATATCACTCATGCTGTTCATGAGTGATATTGTAAATAAGTTTGTATATTGATCACCATTTACTATAGTGTGTTTTATTTAATTTTTTACTTTAATATACCTTCTGATCTGTTTCAGTAATGTAATGAACCAGGTGAGATGAGAATTATTATTTGTTTGTATCCTCTATTATTTTAAACTAGTGCATCTGTTGCTCGAATTCGAGCGATTGCAAAATATTAAAGGTGTTTTTTTTAAACGAATAACAGTATCAACTTGGTTGTTATTATTTAAATTTAACACTAAAAGACTGTAAGAAGACAACTGACTGAAATATTACTAGACATAAGAAAACATCGATATTGCTTTTAGCTGATCTATAATGATCATAAACATTTAAACTTTTGAACTTTCCATCCAAACTGTTTTGAATAAGCCAATAATTTCTCATACATTTTAATACCACCAGATTTTAATGATTAAACGGATAAGGTTTATAAGTGAACAGTTTTTTTTTACAAATATATGTATTAAAACCATAAGAATAAAATGTAAATTTATTTAGTATTATTTTAAAAACTACAACTACAGTATTATTTTAATATGAATAATAGTGCATAGATTTATTAAAGCATGTAAATTAATAAATTTTGCTGCTAATTTTGTACTTTATTTTGATACTCTTTTTTTTGAAAAATGTACCTTTATTCTATACAATAAACCGTGTAAAAAAGTACAAAACCTGTGGTTTAATTTCTTTTTTTATCAGTCAACAAGTTGTACAGTGAAAACTCTCAAATATTGCACCAATTTTGAATCAACCCAAAACTTAGATTAAAAATATTAAATTGCAATGAATTCAATGATTTTGAGAACAAACCCACCGTATGAGTTTTCTTTTACAGTTGTGTTCAGTGGCGGATCCAGAGGGGCAGCGAAGGGGGCAATCATCCCCCCCCCTGGGCATACATATACATATTTTTTTTACTGCATGTAATACGGTAGTGCATACACATTGCGTAAAATAATTTGTCACACTAACTTTGGACAAAGAAATGGTATAAAACTGCCATTTTGGAGACTTAGTTTACACAAATCTTTAAGGGGGGTACCCCCATACCCCCAGACTCCCTCTGGTTTGCCCCCTCCCCCTTGTGACTGTTCTAGATCCGTCACTGGTTGTGTTCTCAAAATCAAAAAAAGATTTCCTTTTTTAACATTTATTTCTAATTAATTATTTCTATCAACCAAGCATTTGTATTGGTTTACCAACAAAAGACAAGATGTAAAGTGAAACACTAAAAAAATTATATCCTTTCTTACTTAGTCAACATTTACTGTTAATATTAGTCTGATCTAATTACAAAATTAGTTTTCTTTGTAAAAACATCCCCTCAAAATCTTCAAATTAATAGTTTATTGCTATAAGTCTGGCAGTAAGTTACAACAATCATATGGTACACAACATAAACATTCCCAAATCATCCAACACCATAGAATTTTTTTACCTCTAAACTTTTTTGGAAATAATTAAATTTTTACTACAACCAATTTTTATACAGGGCACAGCATAAATTGCAAGCTAAACATGATGACCACAAGACATTAAGTAATTTGTGGTTCCTGGGAAAAGGTAGTGACATAAGACATGATTGCATGTATCTAGTGTTAATTATGGTTAACCATAGTTGTAGACAACAGTGGGAGAATATTTCAAGGTTATGTGCAGAGTTTGTATCATTGCTTGCTTGTGTAAAGTACAGTCTGAGTCAAGCAGGGCTGTGTTGGAGGAAAGTTAACTAAAATGAAAGGTAAAAAGTATGTCTATACAATATTATTTTCTTACTCTCTACAGACCATTATCGGGGCAGCTCTTATTTTATAAAGTATAATTAATTGTGCTATTTTTACAAGACACAGATTAGACTAATAAAAGGGGGGCAGTGGTTTTATTGACGAGAAATATCAAAAAGGGCCTCATTAATAGCACAAGGCTTCATGTGATCAGAACGGTTAATGTAAAGTAGAATGTAAAGTCCTAACTGGAACAAATGAGTAGGGACATATTTTGATTTTGAGGATACAAATTTGCCTGTCTGAAACAAACTTATCTTTTAAAATGGAGAGATGCTAATTTCTGTTATCTTTGGCATTTGCGGCAGAAGCACTTTAATTAAAGAGCAGCATTGTTCTTACCCAGACCAATTTCAGTCATGAGCAACTATAATATATGTTGTTTTAAGTAAGGCTACATCTTTTAATATGATACGCATATTCATAACGAAAAATTCTGACCAGGAAAATATTCCTGAACTTTATGACTAAAATTGTAGTATTCATGGAAGTGCTTTTGTGATAAAAATATTGTTTTTTAGTCTTTATTTTAAAAGTGTTTTCTTCAAGCAGCGTATGACCCTCAAAATATGCTACATAGGCCTATTGGTATGATATGATAACAAGTTTTATTGAACGTGTTTTTAAAAATCTAAAAAAATAACTAAAAAATAACTAGAACACTTATTAATTTACTAAATATTATACGCATACAGCTAGAAAATGGCCGGACTGCTTCCCTTCTAAGGCTTTATTATTACCGTAGGGACCTATTTAATTTTCGACGTCGAGTCAATATTCTAACACGATGAATTCGTTTTCTAATTTCATATGTTTTTTGCGGGGCATTGAGCCGCACAGGTTCACTAGTAATAGTAAAAGTTAAATGTAGATTTAATTAGTTTGTTTACATGAGTTGAATAAATTATAGCAACAATTATGTACGGTTGATGTTCTGTTTAGTACGATTTCAAGTAGGGACAAAATAATTCTTAGAAACTTAAAATTATATCAAATTGTTATATTTAGGACGATTTAACTAATTTATTATTATGTTTGATAACTATATGGTATATACATGGTTGCAGTCAATCGACCCACCTAATCAGTAATCAATAACTACTGATTTTTTCATTATTAACAATACTGTAATTATAATCTTATTTTATGAACGTCATTACACCATTAGTATTTAATATTTTTTTACTATCTAAAGCTGACTTTTAGCACAGTAAAAGGCTGTTAAATGAATTAAAAAAACCTTACATAATAATCTGTGAAAGATAATTCAATTCATTCTTGTTGAGCTGTCATTAATCTATTGTACTTTTCACAAACAAGCCCACTTTATAACACATTTTATATACTCTTCATACAAACTCGATAATACTCGAAACATGGATCCTTTGAAGGATCGAAAATGTGAAAATCTAATTTTACTTCCATTTTGGTATTTGACGATTAGGCTATCTAGTCTACATTCTGAAATGTAATACACATTGAGATAATCATTCAAGAATTATTTGTTGACAGAATTTCAACTTATCGATTTAAAAGCAGCTTTTATTTTATAGTTTGACAGCATCACACTCAAATCACTCAGGCAATCTACATTGCACACAACTCATCACATTCAAGTATTCTACAACAATACGTATAAGGCAACAATACTTATATCCAAACATTCTACAAGATTACACAAAACTTAATGCATTTCCAGCTCCAGATTGCTTGCAGTGAGATATCAACTTGATAGATTTGCTGATAAGCTTAAGTTGTGAACTGC